GGCCTGAACGGCTGCGATATTCTCTTCACTACGGACACTTCTTTGTCTCACAGGCACAGCAGTATCGTGGAGAGTGAATTCACTTTTAAATTTTGTTATTATGCCATTTATAGCGCTCACAGAAGGAGCACTATGACGACCGTTTTTTGCGCGAAGCGCTCTTGCTGTAGCGGTAGGAGAACGCGAATTTGCGTAATAATTTTGGACAATTTCCAAGCGTTGGTTTAAAGTGAAACGTGACATGATAAAATGGCACACCTTACTGAACACAAATGTCAAGAGACGTCAAAGATCCATCATCAAACATGGCCGCTATGAGCTGTCAAAACCAGGTCATCCCTATTGGTAGACCCAGTATTTTACACTCTGCTATCCATTGGCCTTTGTCAATGAAATTGAGAGAGGGCGCTGCTACGCTAGTGTCAACATCGTCTCTGTGTTATTTGTGTTATTAATAATATAAGATCATCGCTAATAAGTGTTAAATCTATTCCAAATAGTAAATTTAAACAATAAAAGTGTTACAAATGATAGATACAATAAAAGTCTTACGTTAAAGTGCTGTAAACAGCGAATTGGACAACAAAACATTACCAGCAAATTGTGCCTCAAAACGCGCAAAACAGTGAAATTACGTGTAATTATCACAGCAAGGCTAGTGTGCAGAATGAAAATGTGTTGACTTCAGAGTTAACAGCCAGAAGATAAGTAATTTCAATTAAAACCTAACCTAAAAATCTATTCATCGCCAACGCATTGGAACCAACTTGTAACCAACCAATAGCGACATCTCTTGTGGATTAACAAAAGTACTCAGAAAAAAGAAGTGATCGACAGCTGCTGTCGATAAGTCGAAGTCGAAGTAGTACACGTCGTAACCGCTAGAGGGCGCTAAACATAAATTACTCTAAAATGGAGCAAATCACAGAAATGTTGAAGTCACTGCAAACAAAACTAGATGAACAAGCAAATGAACTAAAAGAAATGAAGGAAAGTATCCCAAATAATATAAATAAAAACATTGATGAAAAATTTGTTATACTTGAATCTAGACAACAACAATTGGAAAAAATTACTGAAGAACAGGGGAAAAAAATCCAAAGATTTGAAAGTTTTATGAGGAGAAAGAATTTGATATTTTTCGGAGTAGAAGAGACCGAGAACAGCTACTTCAGCTTGCAAAATAAAATCCTAAATATTATTCAGTCCAACATGGAGGTAGATTGCCAAAAAGGAGATATTGAATATGTTACAAGAATGGGAAAAAAGTCCGAAAAAACTAGGCCAATAATTGTCACCCTAACTACTATGGGCAAAAAAATTGAAATATTGAGAAACAAAAAAATGCTAAACTTAACCACCTCTTACTACATAAAACAAGATTACCCGCCTGAAATCCTTGAAGAGAGAAAGAAATTGAGTGCCGAGCTAAAAGGAGAAAAAGACCAGGGGAAAAATGCATACATTAAACACAACAAATTAGTAATAGAACCAGAAAACGAAAAAATACAATACCAAAATGATCAAGACCGACGTAAGAGAGTTTTACCACTGTCACCAGTAACAGTCGATGTCAAGAGTGGAAAACTATTTACAGCAAAGAACCCCATCAAGAAAAATAGAATGGACCAATATCTAATTAAAAACAAAGATGTGAGCACAATGCCTAGTTCTCCTTTACGTCAGAAATCAGACAGCTCCTCCTCTGCCAATAAATGACTTTTAGCAGCGACCTCTCAACGTCCCCCAGCACGGCCGGTCACCGCGGGGGTCACAGACTACAACCCTCCACTCCACCCACTATACATTTGTACATAAAATGTTCGATCTCTACTATCACACGAAAGACTACTAGAACTTAAACAAGCAATATCTAAGATTAATTATGATATAATTGATCTGGCGGAGGTCAGACGGACGGGATACAATATAGAAGAAGATGATAACCATATATTCTGCTACTTCGGAGAAACAAAAGCACTGAAAAAAAAAAAAAAAAAAAAAAAAAAAACTGAAATGGAAATGGGCCGGCCATGTTGCACGTATGAAAAATGATAGATGGACAAAAAAAAGATAACTGATAACTTGAAAAGGGCCAACAGGAAAGAGAAAAAGAGGTAGACCAACGGAGAGGTGGTTCGACGAAATACTTAAAAAAACAGTGGGACAATAACTGGATGTAAGTAGCAATAGATAGAGATAAGTGGAGAAAATTGGAGGAGGCCTTTACTCTGTAGAGAGGTCCTTAAAAAAAAAAAAAAAAAAAAAAAAAAAAAAATATTTTGATTTGCATGTAATAATATTTGTAGTTTTGTTCATGAAATGTTTTATTTGTATTTTATTAATTTTAATTCGAGTTGGCTATTTTATTATTGATATTTTTAAATTCTTATTTATTTTTATCTTAAATGTTTTTATTTTAATTTCTCGAATTGTAATACCAAATTATGTAAGTTTTATTAAGGAATAAACAAGGCTTTATTATTATTATTATTATTATTATTATCCATTGGCCTTTGTCAATGAAATGATCCCAAGCGATACTACTTCCCTTTGGGCCATTTTTACTGATTTATTAGTACTAAGAAAACACAACACAACACAATAAAATTAGGTATAGATTTCAAAAAAATACAAATTCGCGCGAGACTGAACTGAGGTCACGGTACTCAAACAGTCAAACACTATTCAAAATCTGCGTAAACTTTCAACTTTTACCTAAAATAAAAGCCACAAAACATATGCAAACAGAAGATCAGTTCTTCTAAATTAACAAGAAACTTATTACGTGAAATACCGGCACTTACAGTATGTCTAACTAGTATTAAATAAAACTAGAATAATTTAATCATAATTAGGCTGAAGTCTCGAGATGTATTTACGAGTGTAAAGTTAAATCCCTGAATGCAACTGTTGTACGAATTTGGTCTTCTTTCTGGTTTCTGTTGTGTGCCCATGCTCTCTGACGCAAATCTGATAAACAAATGACACTTGCTGCGTGTGAGCAAGAAAGAAGAATCAATAAGGTATCCATTGTATAGCGCTGTCTCGCTTTCTACGGCTCTAGATGTGTAGCGGGATGGTGAGATACGTTGCAACGTGTAAGTGAGTGAGATAGCAGGAACAGGTAGGAGCGTATGCTGAACATTCTATTTTATGCTTTAAGAATACGAACATCAGGTGGAACAGGTGGATTATACACATTGACAAAATGGGATCAGGTGCAGCCTAATCTCGTATAATACCTAATCGTCGGATCTGTTCTAATAAATACGACACATCTCTGTACAGTATCTACTTTTCATCACAAGTAATGATTCGATTTAAAATCCCTTCATTATTGTGTCGGTTGAGCAAAGTAACACAGCAGTCGACGCGTGTTTGCAAGTTCGATTGACTCAATTCATGAGGTACCCATCGTTCAAGATTTTTTACATTCCCAATTTGCTTCAAGTTGATTAATACAGTTTTATCACTTACCCCGAAGCCTGCAGCTATCTCTGAAGTGCTTTGTGATGGATCCTATTGCACAATAGCCTTTAATTCTTCATTTTCCACTTTGGTCTCCGGCTGTCCATGGGGTTGGTTCTTAAGGTCGAAATTTCCAGAACGAAAACGTTGAAACCAAAAACGTACCGTGCTTTCTTTTGCGACACCAGCGCTGTACACATCATTAATCCTTCGAGCTGTTTCTGCAGCACTGGTGCCACGGTAGAACTCGTACTCGTAAATATACCGATATTTCATGTTTTCCATTGTAAAGTAATAAGCGACGGCAAAAAAAAAAAATGAGGAAAAAAACAAATGAATTACTGTTTTCAAAACTCAAATGTAAAGGTTAAATGAATTTATAAATTTGAATTTGGAATTCCTTACCAAAGAGGAGATATTTCAGATCAAAGTGGTCAGTACGACAAATCGCAAATTTCATATGTAAGGACCTAATATATTACATACATATGTGTATCTGCTTGATAATATTTTTTCTTGTTCTTCCTTAAAATAGTTGCATAAATCTTGAATACTAAACTAATTTCTTGTATGTATTCTTTCGTTGTAGAAGCTCGCAAGTAATGTGATTCAACCTTGGGAATAGAATGAATGTGCTACACGATAGCAGTACATATTTCGGAATCAATGTTCTGGGTGTTTTCTCGTGGTGCAACTCCTTTGTTCTACTACGAGTAGTAGGAGTATTTCTCGTGGTTCTACTGAAGGATTAACCCTTTCAGACCTGTTTTGATTAACCCTTTTAGACCTGTTTTTTTTTTCTTTAATATGATTGATTTTTAAAATATAATACGTTTTTATTTAAACATTATATAAGCTTTTAAAAGAAGGTTGGTCAAAACGTACCTGGCGACGACACGATAGCGTCCCTATATGCCATATATATGAAAAATATCCTTATTTTTTAAGGTCATAAAAAACACAAGAAATATATTTTTAAGTTCTCGCAATAAAAAGTTATCCTTGTTTTAGTTTTTTGTAATTATTTCGAAATTATTTTCGTATATTAGTTTCAGAACGCACCTATAAACGATTCATTTCGCGTATGAAATGATTTGTTATTCAAAGACTATAAATATTCAAGTTTTTCTGAATAGTTGTTAACTGTTATTCAATTAAATTAGTATTTAAGCATCATATCAACTAATAAGCTGATTTATTAAGCATTGGATCCTTGTCATAAGAGATAATTAAGTGAAAGCGTTTTGTTTCTATTACTTACAACGGAACGTCATTTTTCATCGACAAGTTACTTTATCTGTGGTCATCGCCGCGCCATTGGTTGACACCTGGCAATCATACGCATCTTATTCGCTTCACTTGTTGCTGTTGTGAATTTATTGTGATACGCGCTGTACTATTTGGGATTTCCTTCTGTTGTTTTGACCTTGGCATTGTTTAACGGACTGATATCTACACTTCTGACGATTACTCTGTGCTTTCGATTTTTGGACACCGATTTTGCTTCTTGGATAATTGTGAGAGACATCATGCAGACGCTACAACCAGCCCTGCGATTGCTATGTGTTAATTGTAACATACGCATTGAAAAACTTCGCCGGCATCTCGTCTTTGAGCTTGATACGAGAGTAATTTCTAAGATCTGCGAGTGGAATCCTTCAATAGTAGTAAGTATTTACATACCTACTTATTTTTGTGCAATAACATGACCATTACACACAATTATCGTAATACAACTTTTAATTCTTATTTTAGATCACTGAAGAACATTATATATGTGATGTCTGTAAAGAATCGGCAATACAGCATGTCAACTCCGGATTAGCTAATGAACCTGGTGAATCATCTTCCCGTGGCCACATGCATGCTTGCTTAGTTTGTGGAAGTTCTCTGCGGAACCGTAAATGTGACCTTATTGTGAGAGAGAATCCATCACAGTTGCAACAAGCAATATATATTGAACTTGAAAATAGAATTGCCCCACGGCAGGTAATTATGATTTTTTATTATGTACTTTTGTTTGTATTGTTATCAATGTTATAGTGAATTCATCACTGCAATCTAATATTGTTTTGTAACAATGTTTTTATTTGCTTGTTGGTTGTTTCAGGCAACTTCATTGGACCATGTTTGTCATCCCTGTTGGCTGAGACTCAAGAGAGTTGCAACTCGTAATATGCAGCAAAATATTCAGCTGCAGGCAGAGCCAGAGCCGGAGCCAGAACCGGAGCTGGAGACAGAACTGGAGCTAGAGCCAGAACCAGAGCCAGAGCCTCAACCCCAAGACCAGCAAGCTGTCGAAGTACCTGGGATGATTACTTTATTGCAGTATAGACGAGCGCCTAATACTGCATCACATTGTGTTTTTTATAATTGCCAAAACAGAGATTTGCATAGGTTTCTGACCCACTAAGAGCAACAACTCTAAGCCAACAGAAATATTACTTGCCCGTAAATGCTCGTATTTGTCTAGAACATACATTTAGTAATGATTGGGATATGTTGTTCAATTCCGAAAATAGTTTAAGAATATTTACGGCTGAACAAATAGAACATGCATTTTCTTTTATAAATGCTTTCAATACATTTCTGGATTTCTCCAGTATAGAAAGTGTTGAAAGAATCGATGAACATATGTTTCATTATTGGCTGGGAATGAATAAACAGCAATTTGAACTTTTATTGTATGAAATACCGCGTCTTATTGAAACAAAGAGAGGCATCTTGGGTTTAGGTGCTCTTTTAATGAAGATGAGAACTGGTGACTCAGATGACCGGTTATCCCAATTATTAATGGTTCCAAGACGAACATTAGAAAGACTGATGGATAAGGCTAGGGAAATATTGGTACAGGATTTTGTGCCTAGAAATCTGGGACTTCAACATATATCCCGTGAACAATTGTTGCAACACAATTTAATTATTCCAAATTCGGTTCAAAATTAGCTTTAATCATCAACGTAATCTCCATCATTCCAGCGCCGCTCTAACATTTCAATACCACTTTTGTAGAACGATTTATCTTTTGCCTCAAAATAAGCCTCAGTTTCAGCGATAACCTCTTCATTCGTGCGAAATTTCTTACCGGCGAGCATTATTTTCAGGTCTGCGAACAGCCAATAGTCGCTGGGAGCCAAATCTGGCGAATACGGTGGATGTGGGAGCAATTCGAAGCTCAATTCATGTAGTTTTGCCATTGTTTTGATTGACTTGTGACACGGTGCGTTGTCTTGATGAAACAAAATTTTTTTCTTTGCCATATGCGGTCGTTTCATTGCAATTTCGGCCTTCAAACGCTCTAATAACGCTATATAATATTCACTGATAATGGTATTTCCTTTCTCAAGATAGTCGATGAATATTACACCACGCACATCCCAAAATACCGAGGCCATAACCTTTCCAGCCAATTGGTATGCTTTCGGCCGATTCGGACGAGGTTCACCAGTTGCTGTCCACTCAGATGACGATCGTTTTGATTCCGGAGTGAAGTGATGGATCCATGTTTCATCCATTGTCACATATCGACGAAAAATTCGAAATATTCCGGTTTGTTACGTTTAAACATGGCCAAACACTGCTCAGAATCATGAACACGTTCTCGTTTTTGGTCAACAGTGAGTAAACGCGGCACCCACTTTGAACAAAGCTTTCTCATAGTCAAATGCTCATGCAATATAAATCCAACACGTTCTTTTGATATCTATACGATGTCAGCTAACTCACGCAACTTCACTTTTCGATCATTCAAAACGATTTTTTTTATGTTTTCTGGTGTTACCGCCTCATTTGGACGTCCACTGCGTTCTGCATCATCGGTGTCTCTACGACCAAGTTTGAATTCAGCAAACCAACGTTTTATTGTTGTTTCTAATGGAGCGTAGTCCCCATAACACTTTTCAAGCCATTGCTTCGCTTGAACGGTATTTTTTTCCCATCAAGAAGCAGTGTAAAATTAAAACACGAAATTGTTTTTGATCAATTGTTTTGAAAATAACAAAAGTAGCGTCACTCTTTGCACAATAACTCACAAACTAATGAATAGAATATCATGAAATTCTAACAGCTGTCTTTTGAAGATTAGTATTAACTGAAAAAAAGGTTTATGTGTTAGGCCCGGGACTTTTCAGCCCATGTAATAAAACACCGTAAAAAATTTAATTATCGTTGGCTGCTTGCGAGTGTTTTTGCCACACGAAAAAAATAATTACAATATCTAACATTGACATTGACGGAATGATGTTATTGATAAATAAAACTAATATTATATTTTTGTACAAAGAAATGTTAGAACGAAGTTATATGATACATTATTATTAAAATCATGGTTTAATACTATACAGATTTTATAATATTCAAATACAAGAGACAAATATTATACTTAATAGCCATAATACACAAAATAAGGAATTTAATAGAACAAACAGAATAGCAAATTGTTCCACAAACTGTCCCAGTTTCAAAAGTATCTGATAGGGTTGCTCTATTTTGAAACCCTGGTGGTACTTCCAAAAGTAGCATACTTTCCAAAACTAGCGGCGTGCACAGGATTATGACACTAGGTATGCGGCAGAGTAGTCGGTCCCAAAAACTTTTTCTTTTATAGATTTTTAGCTTAGCCACAGCCACGCGATGTATCTCTAAGTCGGAAACCATGCCAACAGAACAAGTCTTAGATGTACTACTATTCATGTACATCTTCAACGGGAACACTGACAAAACTGCGATAGATCGCGGCGGAGGAAATTCTAATAAGTAAAATAATAAGCTAAAATATTAAAACTACTCACCTGGTCATCTTCAATTTTCTGATATTCACATATTCAAGGTTAAGGTTACTTGAGATTACTATATCCCAATGCAAATAAACGCAAGATTTCAGCCACCTCAAATATCTTATCCAAGTGAGTGATAGTTACAGACCTTTAGACACAATTTTAATCTTTTCACTGAATGACAATTGTGAGAACTTGTTATTTTTAATTTAAATTATACACTAATTTTCCACACATACCTCACAATCAAATAACTTTTTAAAAAAATCAACGGAACTCAGTGATAAACTGTTAAATGTACACACTTTCAAATAAAACTATAATTATACTGGCGGAAAGAAAATAGTAAACAATGCTTATCACATGAAAAAATCAATATGGCCCCCGCGAACAAGAAACATATCTGCTAATTAAACAAATAAAACCTTACCATATTCCAAATTCATAATCCGCATACATGATTCATTATATTTCTGACTATTGTAATTGGGTGGATTTATAGGCAACGAACACTGCCGATTATACCCGAATACTGACGACAACGATTAGCGCGGGAGCCGAAGGCCAACTGCAGTTATCCTGCGGCTGTAGTCGGGCATATAAAATAAATGGGTGTGTGCGTATGCGAACTGTGCACGGACACCAAAATTACTACACACATGCGAACATGTCCTGCGCGAGGCGACGGCATGAGTTGCTTTGCGCTTGCTTTTCGGTAAACACCTGGCAAACAATGTTTGTGTGGTGCTATGCTATTTGTAAATAGTACGCGTTTTTAAGTTATTATATTTTGTTTTTTCATTTATTTACTATTAATTAAAGTCATCTAAAACGTACCAACGTTTTATTAAAATGTCTGTGAATAGCAAGTAAAGCACTGCATTTCTGCCTACAAGGAGCGCACGCCCCTGCAAGCAAGTCATGTGGAACTCATTAGCAGGAGCCTACTCCTCGTCCATACAGATGCTCTACACATCGGCGACGTCGTAGACGTCGTAGTTTGGAGGGGTCTCAACCCCTAAGTGGTAATTTTAATTTTATTTAACATTAAATGTTCACAATACATTTTCATATGGACAGAATCATTCAACGTAAACATATATTTGCCCTGAGAAAAAGGGCCAGGATTATTATCCCTTCAGAATCTGACTCTGATTAAATTAAAAGTAGGTAACAAAAACACTTATGGCAGTAGTAAATGTTTTTAATTTTAATGAAATTTTCTTTCTGCCCACAATTTATTCACAAGTGCCTGCTGCATGGCCCGGCCTATAAGATATTAATTGGCCTCATATCATTGGCCTGTGCCATGACAAACATGTAACTCATTTGGTAGGGTTAATTCCATCCTTACCTGAACCGTGCTTTCAACACCCGAATAAAACGCTCAACAGTATTGCGCGCAGTTACATGCAAATTATAATAATACTGCTGTGGAGTTCCCTCAGTGGTGTTTAAAATTGGTGTTATCATCCATTTGCGCAAGGGGTATCCACTGTCGCCTAAATCAAAGTAATTTTAACATTTTGTATTAAATTCCTTATTTTAATAATAACTAATAGCAGCTGTTTTTTTAAACTTGCTGTTATGTAAAGTTTTTTGACGTGACAACGTCTTATAAATTGGTTTGCCGGGTGACACTTCAAGAAACTGCGTTACGCTCCGCTCACGTTATGCGCTCACAATGAGAGCGAGTGAGAGGCACGCGTCCCTTCCACTCGGGCATGGTTAGCCCGCCTAAGAGCGAGAGAGACAGACATAAAAAGTGAAAGGCACGCGTCCCTTCCACTCGAGCACAGTTAGCCCGCCTAAGAGCGAGAGAGACAGAGCGAGAGAGAGAGAGTGAGAGAGATAGGCATACACACCGGTTCATGTCTTGCGCTTCTATTTTACCACTCAAAGTCGTTGTCATGTAAAACTTTCGCCCGTATACCGACTTTACAGGCAACCAATTTTTATCAGTCAATTGTTACTGATAAAAAACTGAAATATACAAATGGTTTCTAGACATTGTACATTTTACTCCAAGATTTCATCATCATCATCATCAACAGCCTTTAATAGTCCACTGCTTGACATAGGCCTCTCCTGAGAGAGGAGGTTTTGGCCTACATACTCACTTAATAAAAATGAACCATCTCCACCGGGACCAGCTAAACTAATTAAGTGTTGGCTGAGTGGATTACTCTGCCACACACTGGAGTCATGGGCTGCACCAGGGATACTGGCATCGACACACATGATTTGAAGATCGTCACATACCTGTAAATTATTGATAGCATTAAGCAAACTGAAAAATGACTGAATGATAAATAAACTGGTGCAAATAAATACTTACAATCATAAAATTTAATGAATGGTACCCTTTTCGGTTAAAATATCGTTCTTCATGTACGTGAGGTTTAAAAATAGCCACATGTGTGCCATCAATGCATCCAAGAACCTCGGGGATTTTAAATTTATGATAGAATCTAAAAAGCAAATAATGCTGTTAATTACCTACAATTTAATACCGACTTTACGTGTAGGTCCATAACTTATGGAGTCTGTGTAGTGTACACCATTACACAGACTCCACCATGCATAAGTTTTATAAAATACTAGCTGTTCTCTGTCATGCTTCGCTGTGATACATTGCCGTTGCAAAAAAAGATGACCAAAATCTTTGAAGATGGTTGTATATCGTGTCAAAATATGAGCTGTATCAGTGCAGAACTTTTTGAGTTTTTGAAGCATACACAAACCAACTTAACATTTATATTTATGATATTGATAAGGGGAAAGCCTTCACTTTCTCATGTTTTATAGAGGTCATTGATAATCCTTCAATGATAAATACATTAATAAAAGGTATGAACTTACCTGGTTTTTATGTCATTCCTGTCTTGCTGTTCCAATGGGAATCTTGTAAATGGTAGGATCATTCAAAGCTTTGGTCACTTGTCTCACAGCCCTTGACACGGTGGCTTGTGATACATTGTGAAATACACTTTGGCCTACCAAACTTTGATATGACCCTGTAGCATAGAATGACAGTGCTATCAGAATCTGAAATACAAAATAGGTATCAGGAAACTATAAGGTGAAAGTAACTGCAGCATACATTTTATTTACAACAATACCATTTGTTTTCATTTTATTAACCTTACCTTCATTATTACAGAAATTCCATCCTTTCTCTGCTCAAGTGGAATAATTCTGCTGACATCCTCTGCAAGTTGCTTCACAAGGCTTTTACTCATTCTAAACGTTTTGACGAACTCGTCATCGGATATCATTGTTAAAACATTAAAACTTCGCAATAAAGCACGAGCGTTTTGTAGCCTCTTCTCTTAGGTCTTCGTTATAAGAAGCTTCTAAAAATTGCCACCGTAAATATGATATTGGAAGCATATTTATTTTTAAACACGGAACACTTTTCACAGTAAAGTTATAATTTAATGTTATGTCTACTTGTTGACTACTTTTTCTGCCTCATGTTTCAATCATTTGGTAAATGTGTTGTAACTTGATCAGGAGCGTGATTCGATGTTTAATTTTATGCTAAAATTACTTGCATGGTATTGTTTTATGTACACCTAGCTTCACCCCGGGTTCTGATTTTTAGTTTTAGAGAAAACACCTAAAATATATTTGAGGTCGTTTTAGACCACACATCGCACTAAATCGGGGCGGCATTAGTGATGGGAATGAATTTATATCGATGAATGTCCATGTCTATGTTATATTTCTATTACTTTTTTATATTGTTATAGTATTGTGCATAAAAGTATGGGGTGTTGTTAAATAAAATACAAACTATTCGTTCATCTAATTTATTCTATATTACTTTGCATGCTGTTCGTTAAAACAATGCAAGCACATAGCTTTCTTACATTGTGAACAATTAGTCATAATTTTTTTTACTTTCTTTGCAGCCTGCATGGCACCTAATGTAAGTCGTAATTTTGCATAGCAAATGACGCAACGTTTCCTTATTTGACCCTTTGCAAGGATGTGCTGAGACTGAATGGTTTGGTTCATTATTACCTGTAAATTGAAAACATTTCTCATTCTAAGTACTTAAATGTAACCGCTCGTGGACGTGCAAAAGTAATTTTAAGAGGCCCAAAATCGTGCTTTAAGCTTTTAAAATAAAAACAAGTCATTGACCTAGTAAATAAACGCCCCCACAACAATAAAACGAATACAGCCAATAGTGATCAAAACATCAAAAACTGCGCATGCAATATTTTTGAAAAAAAGTGCTTTAAAAAAGATCATGAATTAGATTCCAAAAATAGAGAAAATATATAGCATAGGTAGTTTTAGAACGGGCATAATTCATAAGCAGCAGTTGCAGTTGAGTGCAGAAAATTTGTGCATTGCATGGTATGTAAATTATTTTACGTAGAAAGCTCTAAATGAAACGGAAAAAAAAACAAAAGCTTATAGCTATGGTTTGCAATATGCGAAAAATAGGATTAGTGCATGTGCTTATAAATAAAATGATAGCGTGGTAAGTAGAGCAGCCAATTGATAAATAACAGTTTTAATCTATTTATCTACCTCTTTGATTCCTCCAGTAAAATGTTTTAACATAAAATTGAAAATAAATCAATTACATGTCTCCCGATATGAATCAAACCTGAAACCATTACAATTTCATATCCTAATAAAAATATATGTAATGGGTAGTAGTTGAACAATCTAAGGACGACTTATCTTATTCGTACCCAGATTTTGGTTGCGTTACAACTTACATAGAAAAATCTAGAAAAATTTAAACGCGCGATTGTGTCGCAGTGGGACTCGAACCCACGACCTTCCGATTGCTGAAATAACAAAAATATGGCGACAAAACTTGATTTACTGTAAGGTAAATTAAAATACATATATAAATTTGTGTAACGTACCATTGCCAGAAATACTTTTACCAGTAAGTGACTCAATTAAGCATTCTGTGAAATCTTTTTTGGTCATTTTCTTAGGGTTTGACATATTATAAATGAGCCAAGCATTTACAACTGAAGTACCGAACAAAAACTCCATTACAACCTTCCTATACCACTTCAGACCTCTCTTCAGGACAGAGTAATATGATGCCATCTGATCACTGTAATCAATGCCCTTTTTGTTTTCGTTGTACATTTATACACATTTAGGCTTTCTTATTGGTTCATTGGTTAATCTTGACTGCTTTCCTGTATTTACTAGTTCAGCTTTGTGATCTTTGCAAGTAGTAAGCATTATTAGCACCTCTCGCTTATCACACCATTTTATAATACGTACTCCGCTTTCTGACATCTTGCCATATACTTGACCTTTTCTCACTTTAGTACATACAATTTTTTTGGGCACGCCTTTCCTATTAGACCTTAACGTACCACAATAGAATGTTTTACGTGTTAAAAGCAGTTCTGCAAGTTTGATTGATGAGTAGAAATTGTCTGCAACGACTGTTCGGCCTGCGTCTTCCAGCCCAGCCACTAATTTCATAACTGTTTTGAGGCCATGATCTTGCTCCCGTTTGTTAGCCTCTTTACCTGTATATACAACCATTCTGTACGTATAACCCTCGGGAGTACATAGCTTATATATTTTCACGCCGTATTTGTGGGATTTATTTTTAATGTACTGCCGAAATGTAAGGCGACCTCGCCAAGGAATCATTGTCTCATTTATAACGACTAATTTGCCTGGTTCAAGGGTACATTGAAAACGGCTATTTAACGATTCATATATTTCACGAAATTTATGTAGTTTATGATCGGTTTCTTTTACTGATAATTCACTGAAATGCCAAAATTTAAGAATCAACAAAAATCGGTCTCTTGAAAACAATGAACAGATGTAATCATTTCTATAAATAGACTTCCGCGACCAATAGTCATTTAAATGAGGGACTTTGTTTAAGCCCATTATTTAAATTACTCCAAAAAATTGACGCATTTCTTCGAAATTGGTCGGTTTCCAAGCTTTAACACGAGATTATTGTTTAATTGTATGAGCGTTATCAACCGAGTACTTCTATGCATAATCATTCGTTTCTTTCACCATTTTATTAGTTATTTCTTCGGTTGCAAATAAATCATATATTTCAATAGGTGTTTTATTGTCTGTAGGTAAAAGTATTTTACAGTCAAGTGTATTTTCTGCAAAATCTGGTATTTCGTCAGTAATATTCACCCATGGTTCTTCTTCAAAGCCTTGTTCTTGTGAATGCAACCAATCACTTTCGATCCTCGATTCATCATCATCTTCCAATTCGTCACTATCTTCTGACGATGATAAAGAGCTTTTTTCAAATGATAAATTTTCTTCGTCAGTAGTACTAAATGAAACTTCACTTACAGATTCAGATATATAACCTCTTTCTTCTATCATTAATTGTAGGTCAAAACGTTTTTCTGGTGTCTTATTATTCAACGGCAAAGCTAACATTTCTTCTGTGGTAGTATTTTTTATTCCATTTTCTATCGTAATCATGTTATTATTGTTAGTGTTTAAAGTTACATCATTATTGGTTCTTTTCTGTGAGATATTTTTCTGGATAGCAATTATATCAGTGTCTTCGTTTTCTTCCTCAAATGTATAAGTTCTTTCAACATCTTTTGTTTCTATTAAATTCGTGCATTGTAAATTATTTGTGTTCACAATTTCAGTTTCATCTAAAGGCATTAAAGAAATGTTGTCTAAAGATGGACATCTGCTGTTTGATGTGCAAAAACGACTTATTGAATCTGGGGTAGATATTTGAGAAGAAACGTTAATATTACGTTTTTGAGATGGAGTTAACAGTATAGCTGGAGACGGCACTGTAACACTTAGGTCTTTGAGAGGTACAAAGTCGTTGTGTGCACTATATTGTACACGTTCTTCTATATTATTATCCTTTTTGTGTAATGAGTGAGACGGAGATAAAATATTGATGGCATGAGCGTTCTCTAATAAAGCAAATTTTTTGTTAGTAATTGAACTCACGTATATCCGAGGTTCTCTCAGTGCCGGATTAAGCCAGCGCGGGGCCTGTAGCAAATTCTGTCAAGAGGCCCTTCGTTTGCTATAGTTTCTCAAGTTAAAGGGTATTAAATAAAACAAAACTATTACAAATAAACTTTTCTGCATTTAATATGGGCAAATTTAGAGATAACACTTTCACTATCGACTTCTTTAAGCAAATTATACTCTATATTCATCAAAGTAAGGTGATTAAGACGTTCTTGGCCCATCGTGTTTCTTAACTCGTTTTTAATACGTTTTAACGTTGAAAAAGAACGTTCGCCACTGCAGTTAGTGATCATGAGAGACAAGTAAATGCGCAAGGCAATTTCTACGTTTGGGAAACACGATTCTAAGGAATTATTTAATAAAAGTTTATAAAATTGCAGTTCCAGAGACTCTTGTTTCTTGCTATCAATAACAGTAGCCACATCTGTTTTCAGCAGTTCAGCGAACTGCACTAATTCGTCGCCTAGGCTACTTTCCAAATCATCTTCGTAAGCACTGACCATACGTGAGGCGTTTTCCAAAATCTCTTCTGTTGTAAGGGATTTTAGCTGTCGAAATATTCCAAAAACACCAGTAATTTCATGATATGCTTCCATACGTTTAGTTAAAGCAGACAGTACGTTATCAATAATGACAATAAACACCTGAATTTCAAAACGTTGTCCAGGTGTTTGATTTTCAACAAAGTTGTCGAGTGTAGTAGAGCCGGTGAAATGGTCGTACTTTGTATTCCGCTTGCTTCGTCTTGAAGTCTGTTGCTGATACTCTTCACAGTCGGTCAGATCTTTGGCTTTTGCCTCAACATCTGAAAATGTAGATCGCATTGCTTGTACGTAGGCATATACTGTTTCATAAAGGGCGTATCCTGTGTTAAGGTCTTGATCAGACGACTGCAGCGAAGCACTAGTCGCTTGCAAGCGTTCTAGGATTCGGTTCCACATAATTGTCATTATTCCCGTTTCTAACTTATTCATCGTTGAAACTAGTCCGTAAGCTTTATTACGGCACTCTGCTTTTTGATCTACATTATTGAAAATGTCTTCCAAAACTTGCTTAATAGTGATAAAACCACATAAAAGCGCCTTCGTAGCATCAGCTCTGGCTGACCACCTAGTGTCCGATAACCTTTTCAAAATCGGAATTTTTGAAGTAGAATCTTTCAAAGCGTTCGTGAGACGACTCCATCGGTAGGTAGAAGCAGAAAAAAACGTGTAGAGGTTTTCAACGAAATCGAAGAAAAGTAATGCTTCTGTACAGCAGTCTGCAGCGCACTTAGCAACCAAATTTAAGGAATGTGCAAGACAGGGAATATATTCTGCGTATTTATTTATTTCCTTAATTCGTGCTTGTAAGCCGCAGTATTTCCCACTCATGTTGCTGGCATTATTGTAGCTTTGCCCACGACAATCTTTGATATCAATGTCACTCTCACTTAAGAAATCTAATAAACTTTGAGCGAGTTGTTCAGCAGTATGACCTTCCATGTCTAAGAACTTAACGAATCTTTCCACTGGTCCAGATGGTAGAACATAGCGCACTATCAGAGTCAGTTGGTCTACATGCGATATATCTGGAGTAGAATCCAATGAAACTGAGTAGTATTTGCATCTCTTAATTTCGCAAATTATTTGATCCAGTATGCTTGATGCAATTAGATGAATAAATTCCTCACAAGTTGTTTTTGATAAATATGACGTATGTCCTTTTCCTTTATTAGCATAACTTTGAATATGTTGAGCCATAAAAGCGTCAAATTGGGCTATTAATTCTAATAAGCCTAAATAATTGCCATTGTGGGGGGAACCAACAATTTCGTCACTACCCCGAAACGCAAGACCTCGTTCTGCTAAAAACTTTATTACTGCAATGATTCGTTTTAAGAGTAGCCTCCAATAATTTTGCTCAGTCTCAATTTGGCTCACAAGTTGAGAATCAACACGCGTATTCTTGTTTTTGAGATTTACCAGCGAAATTATGGCTTGTCTATGTGGAGTGCTTTCTTCATGTCTTGTCAACAAATTGTGCGCATTCTTCCAGTCATCTAATCCATCTTTCGTAAACCGTGGTGACGAAGTATCTGAATTCGTAACTTTGCAAACAAAACAGAAAAGTCGTCCTTTGGTTTCCGAATAACACAACCAGTCTCTGACATGAGTTTTATTCGTTAGTTTATGTTTATAGCGGAAAAAGGACTTTTGGCAGAATCGTGGCTTATTTTCTTTTTCGTAAATTTTCTTTGAAGACAAAAAATCGCTATCCATATGTTGCAGTTCGCTGCTTCCTTTTGCAATCCAATAATCTCTATCGAAGTTGCTCGGCCATTCACCAATATCGTTGGAGTATATTTTACTTTCGTTTTGTTTTAGACTTGAAACTGTAGTGAAATCATGCAATAATATACCATCGACTGCTTTTTGGCTTGAACATGACGGCTCTGGATCAAGAGTACTGGCTGTGCTTTTAACTTCTCTTTGGCTAGAGCATGATATAACTAAATTAGAAGGAATTGCTGTCTCTTCAGCTACAGCATCACTTGTAGAAAATGTAGTTTCATTAGAAACAGTAGTAGTACCACTATTATATGTACAATGAGATGCAACTTCTGTATGTTTTGCTTTATTTTCAGTAGATTCAGCAACATCACTCTGAACATTAAAAAAGTCGAACAGCTTACGTGTTTTTGATAAAACAGCTTCGTTCTTTTTTTCCTTTTCGTCTTTTGCTTTACGCTTAGCACTTCCAGAAGCATAGTGTCGACCGGTATCTCTAGATCTGCTGCTCATGTTACCTATGGTTAGACAAATATTTTTTTAATTAATTGTTTATCTCGCCGATATTCGGACCGGGGCCTCAGACGCCGCAGGCAGGCTCACTACCAACCATGCCATTCGTTTTATGTGAAGCAAATGGAGTCTATGTGAAAGGCTCGACTGTACATTTATTTATCCAACGTTATAAATAAAAAAAAATAACTTGACAAATGCTATTTATATGTATTAAATAACTTACAAAAGTTTTATAAAAGGAATCAAATTTAATACGACATTAAAATAATCAAAAATGTTGCATAGAATAATAATTTTTTTTAAAGGACATGAAATGTAACTTTCTTTATACAACTTAAATGAACGAAAATTAATGAGATTGAGGTATTTGTTTTTATTTATATGCGTTTATAAAGTTTGACTCCGCAAATGTTAAGAGTTACTAAAAATAATTTGAAGTGAATATGCAAAACATAACTAGTAAAATATCTTACCTTAAGTGAAATTATTTTCGTTTATGCTTTACTTCATTTACTACGTACAAAAACAAAAACTCTTCTACTGTGTTTTAAAATAGATAATCGTATGAGTTGCTTTTGCTTACAGCGCAAAGTCAGGTTAGAAAACTAAAAACAGTACTCGAAGCAATGTCAAAACAACTTTTCTCAAGAATGGCTCACATCTAAAGTCCTTTTAAAAGTTTTTTTATGTTGTGCCAAACATAAATGTACAGCATTTTCTTATTGTTTGATAGTCGATAGAATCCTATTTTATTTGATCGGGTTGTTACGACTAGCTCGTTCGATGACAATATCAGGGGATTCCCCTGTTAGTTTTGCCGTGCTACCAACTTGCGTGTAGCGCAGTGCAAGCAGTACAACACAACTTTTGGTGTAGCCAGCGCTCAATTGTAGAAACGTGGTAAAATTTTAAATTATTGTTGTAGATTTTGATACCAACGTTTCTCGTGGTAGGTACGTGTATTTTTTTTACGGTACGTGTATTATAAATTGATATTTTTTTACGGTCAGACAGGTATTAGACCGCGGGGCCCCCCGAGTCGCGGGGCCCGTAGCATTTGCTACTCTTGCTACGTGGCTAATCCGGCACTGGGTTCTCTTTGTATTCGTTTTCTTTTTGGATTAGGAAAAATTTCATAATCAGAATCATTAGAATCATCTTTGGCTTCATTTTCCAAAACAGGCAGAGCAATCGGTGGACATAGTTTTACATTACTGAGAATTTTCACCCCACTCTCAATTTCTGATTTTGAGTTACTCAAAGGGTATTTTAACTTTTTACTGCACTTTTTATAACTTTTATTCTCCATATTTGTCTAATGGATTCAGAACGGGCTCTTAATTTTGTTATATTACAAATGCTGAAAATTCTTCTATTTATGTCCCCTATACAGGTTTATACCTGTATAGGGGACATGCAAACCCTGCTTATGCAAACCCAGAATATACAACCTGGGTCGCGGTGGCTTTGGCAGGTAACAGGTAGTAAAGGTGAGTAAAATTGTGTTTCAAATTTGTGATAGTATAAAACTTAGTTTTCATATATTTTAACTTACAATCATATTAGAAACCGCCTCGTCTATTGGTCTTACAGTCTAATTACTTTTATATCTACTTTCGTCATAGTATTACATGTACATTTAGGCAAAAAAGTAATTGTTTGTAGAGGTTTAAGAAAAATTTTAATGTGACTGGGAGAATATTTGGCCCATTGGATTGGTCTGACTGTCCACAAAAGGTATTAATATAGTCCCCTAAGCATCATATATAAAGTTGAAGACTTCAAAAATAAGAAAAGTTCAGTTATTTTTTTATGATATTTAAAGCGTCTGGGAGGAGTTTCCGCTCACAGAAACAGTCTGTCAACATGAAACATGTATTTTTAATAATATTCTGTGTAACATATATAAAAATCAGTACTTCAAATTTAAGAAAAGTAAGCTGTTTTTGTTTAACTTCTCTGCCTGCTACCTGTGAACGGGCCGCCTAGCCAAGCTAGCGAGTATGCACATACTCTTATACACATATAGGAGTATCTATACTGTAAAATTCGTTACTTCAAAAATAAGTAATGTCTGGCGGCCCTGGGATCTTACTCTATACGTTGGTGCGAGTGAAATAGCGCGAGCTATACTCTAATTTATCAAGAAAATTAATTATGTAGATTTATAACGGATTAAAAAAGAAAATTAATAAGTAATAATGTTTAAAAAAAAATCATATCAACAATATAATAATGCGATTCATTGCGCTATTAACTTTTGCAAAATAACATTAAATTTTGTATTCAACTAAAATTTGAATATTTTCAAGTGAATTTTATGGAATCAAGTTGTGATTTAAGAAAGTTGTAAAAAATATCTATCGATAATTTCACACAAATATGAAACACACAATAATAAAATACAAATTTGAAACACAATTTTACTCACCTTTACTACTTGTTACCTGCCAAAGCCACCGCGACCCAGTTTGTATATTCTGGGTTTGCTTATACCGGTATAGGGGACATATATATACTCACTGGCAGAAAATGCCTCTAGGCATTAAGTCCGCCTTGTGCATTATGTTTTGCAGAAAGTGTAAATAAATAAATATATAGAAGAATTTTCAGCTTTTATAATATAACTAAGGTATGGGTGTCACGGGCTCTCACTCTATAAATATATAACTGAACACACACAAAAAAACATTAAACAAAAGAATTTAACAAAAATAAAAAACAAACAATTAACACGATTGCGCAAAGACACGTGCTCCAGTATCGACTATGGTAGCGTCACTAAAGTCGACTTACCTGCTCTCACGCCGCCCGCGCGCTCCGCCGCTGGAGGTCGAAATCGGCCTCAACCCGCACCTTATTCAATAATTTTGTGATCAGTGCGTTTGAGGCGTATTTCGACCTCAAATATTTTTTTACAATATTGAGTCAATGCTTCGCAGACATAAAGAAAGCTATATTTGTCTTTGTCATACCTTATACGGTTGAGTGTAAACAGCCGCCGCACTAGAGAGAAAACACAGTTTTACGTGCCGCACCAGCGTAAAGTCTACCATGAGGCTGAATCAACCTCAAGCCGCAGTGAACGTGTTAAACTCACTTTCTACATCCTCATTTCCTTGATACTTCTTTAGTTGCGACCATACATATGTGGTTTCTTAAGCTGATTCCAGCAATAATCTCGTTACTAACCCATTCCTTTATTAAATAGTTCATTTTCTTTTATGTACTGTTTGACCTAAATCTTCATGATTGCCCGAAACATCTTCTAACCCATGTGACTCAACAGTACAGAAAACTTTATTGTAATCTATAGTTTCATATTTTAGACGTAGTTTCTGAGGTTTCCATTTATTTAGTTGCAAATACATTGAAATAGATATAAATGCCAAAACATTCCACTCAGTTTGCAGACAAATCTTTCACTGTGCAAGCAGTAAGACTCTGGAACAAACTTGCCTGACACAATCCGAAAAGCTAAAACTTTGCCTGTTTTTTTTTAAATATTAAAGGATTTTTATCTATTATTATAAATACTGTTTTGATTCACTATTTAATATCTAAACCAATATTATAAAGAGGAAAGATTTGTTTGTTTGTTACCATTTAATTCAAGAACTACTCGACCGATTTCAAAAATTCGCTCACCGTTAGAAAGCTACATCTTCACCGAGTGACATTGGCTATATTTATTTACAAAAATAATTAGGGATCCCTACTAAAACTTGAATAATGTGACCCAAGGTGTAAAATTAATGTCATAAAATGTCTTTCATCGCATGCGCTGCGGAAACTATTGATGATAGAACAAAACAATTTACTACAATATTAAAGAACATATCAATGGCTTACTCAAAAGTAGGAAAAGATTATACGAACTATACTAAAAGTGACCAGTTTCATAATTATGTTAAAGAATATTCGATGCTGTTTAGGAAACTTTGTAAACTGGCTAAGTCTCATTTTATAAGTACAAAGATTAAAAGTAGCAATGATAAGATTAAAACCACTTGGAAAATTATTAATAGTGAAACTGGCAAAAATCAATACCGCGATAATGAATTTAATTTAAATATAAACATTATATTATTATTATTATTACTAACATTCCTGTATCAACTACTAAATATTTGAACTCCTCATCATGCCTTGCAGAATCAATTTTAAAAGAGATTGTTAGTAGCATTGATAGTGAATTTAAGTTCCAATATGTGTCCCCCTTTAAAATTATTAAAGCCTTTAACACTATTAATGTTAAAAAAACAACCGACCTATGGGGAAATTCTGTTTTAATTACTAAGACAATTATATCTCTTGTGGCTAATCAATTGTCATTTACATTTATTCAATGTGTTGATAGTGGTGTATTTCCTGATCTTATGAGGTCTAGTAAAATTATTCCCTTATTAAAATCTGGTAGTACTGATCTGACCTTTGCAATTAATCTAAAAAAAATTTTCCAAAAATTTTGCTAAATACTGGTTGTACTGAGATGGGTATAAAGTTACTTGGGTTAACTTGGATTAAATTTAAATGACAATTGATTAGTAACTTTATACCTATCTCAGTACAACCAGTATTTAGCAAAATTTAAAAAAAAAATGTATGATCAATTGCAAAGTTTTTTTAATAATAATAATTTATTACACAATAGACAATTTGGCTTTACAAGGGGTCGCTCCACAACTGATGCCAGTGTTGAGCTAGTAAAACATATATCTGATGCCTGGGAGGATGCCCACGATTCTCTAGGTATCTTTTGCGATTTATCTAAGGCTTTTGATTGTGTTGTTCATGAAACGGTGATCAGGAAATTACAGCACTATGGTATCAAAAATAAAGCCCTGGAACTTCTTGCCTCATATCTATGTAATAGGATTCAAAAAGTTGATATTAATGGTGAGCAGTCTCCAGGCTCTGTGGTAGAAATGAGCGTTCCACAGGGTTCTATTCTCGGCCCTTTTTTGTTTTTAGTATATAATAACGACTTACCTTATTGTGTTGTTTGCACATGATACATCACTATTATTTAGACTAAAACGGACACTTCCTGATTTTACATTCGTAAACAGCGCCATTTCGAAAGTGGTTCATTGGTTTGACGTCAACAAAAACCCAGTGAAAAGCCAGTGAAAACTACTGTGATAATTAAGGATGTCGGACCTTGTGGACACTACGACATTTTTAGGTATAACACTAGATTCTAAGCTACAGTGGGGCCCACATATTGATGAATTGTCGAGTAGACTCAGCTCAGCAGCATACGCAGTAAGGAAAATTCGAGAGTTGACTGATGTTGATACAGCACGACTTGTTTACTTCAGTTATTTTCATAGCATAATGTCTTACGGTATTCTGCTGTGAGGGAATGCTGCCGACATTCAAACTATTTTTTTGCTGCAAAAGAGCGATTCGAGCACTTTATAATTTAGACAATCGTTCATTGAGGCAGAAATTTAAAGATATAAATATAATGACAGTGACAAGTCAATATATTTATGAAAATGTAATATACATATGTTCATAAAAACAAAGATAGCTTTTTGAAAAAAAGTGATGTACATGCCATAAATACCAGAAATAAAAATAAACTTGTAGTACCCGCCTCTAGGCTCCAAAAGATAAACAAGTCTTTTCGAGGTCAATGTATCCGATTTTATAATAAAATCCCAAATAATATTCAAGAGTTAAGTATTAACAAATTTAAATTCGCAATAAAACGTGTTTTGTGCCAGATAGTCTAAGAGCCCGTGAACCCCAGACCTTCGTTATTTTATAAAAGCTGAAAGTTTGTCAGCGCATGCTCCCATCACAGGTAAGAACGATGGACCATTATGAAGTTCGGTACCGTGGCTTCGGCAGGTAAACGGTTCTAAAGGTGTGTAAAATACCGATCTAAATTCATCAAATAATAAAGTGTGATTTTTTGGTATTATCTTCAGAATATTATTAAAAATCACGTTATTGCATGCCAAACACTTAACATGGCAACCCCTTGGCAGACACCCTTAATGTTCATAAAATTATAATTCTACTTATGTTATAGTATAAAAGCTGATTTTTATATATAATACTTAGGTAATAATTAGATGATGTTTCCTCATTAGCCAAACATTTTTGATAGTTCCAACCCCTTGCCAGACAAGCATGTAAATCTTAAGAAGACATGCAAATAAACTTTTTGGCATCGATTTTTTATAACTAATAATCTGTGTAAATTTTAAAAACATCTTAAGGAAAGACATTCGATGCTACAACTATCTTAAATTGTTAAAAATTTAAATTTATTCTGTCAATGACAGGTTATAAAAATAAAAAACCAAATTAAATAACACTCAAAAATTTAATTAAAAATAGATTAATGACATTACAAGTTATTATAAAGTATCATTTTCTTCGTCACTGTTACTCCATTCGATATCGTCGTCTTCTTCTTCGTCAGTTTCTGTAAAAATATGAAAAAGTTAATGGGATTGAAAATATTAAAAAAAAAAAAAATGTATAATAGTTTGAAGTAGTATTTATACCTGAGACAGTTTTCAGTGATTCCCTGACGAAATTTGGCAACTGATCACCTTCGAACCATTTAAAATGGTACTGATTATGTCCGAGAACCTAACCATTATTCTCGGGTTGATAAATTGTTGGAATTTGCTGATTTGCATTATTCCAAATGCTAGACACATAGTTGGCTCGCAAAAATTGTTGTAGCAGCTCGGATTTACACGGTGGCAGATCGCTAGCATCAAAATTTCGTAGTTTTTTACGGCTAAACGCTTCATTAATATCTGAGACCTGATATGTATTAATGAATAGTTGAAGCCGTGCTGCATCAACATCAGTTATCGAACCGACATTGTATACCTCACATATAAACCGTTGAATAATATCAAAAGAGCTTTGTTGTTCATTATTATTTTCGAATAATTCGTATTTACCAAATTTAATGCAAGCTTTTTGATACTCTTTCATTTTTTTTTAATATTTTAAAAGGCCTCAACTTTCCTTTTCGGAAAAATGCAGGATTATAATCACAACCTGTGATCGCATGGAATCCTGGTAAGCTCTTGCAAAAAGATTTTCCTAACTTTACGTAAATATCTGTGAGCTTTACGGATCTCAAGTTATTCCCAGTGCCTATCAACATCCAAATAAGTGAATCATTTTGTAGATGGTCATATGACCAAGCATGATAGCTGCAATGTCAGTGTCGACACTTCTGATCACAATATTTACTTGATTTGGAATGCTGCACGCATGATAGACTATTTTGGTATCAGCCTCTTCATGTTTTGGACATGATAACTCTTCTACAACCCTTGTTAGAAGCATTAACAACAAAATAATGGCACTGTTTAGAATTTATGTGAATAGTTTAATTTCCAATAAAAGGTATTATTTCATCACTGGCCCAATGCAAAATCAAAAAATCCACCAGAGCTTGTTTAAAATTTGAATTTTTCAATTCTTTAGCAAAATCACTCGGACGTGTTTGATCAGGTCCAGTTGTGGTGTAGCTCAATGTTCGTAATCTTTGATAGATGGAGTCAGGTATTAATCAAAACTAACGTCAATTCTTAGCGCTTCGAACTTGGTGACCATTTGCAACATTTTCTTAGAAATGCCTCCAAACTTGTTTGGAACATTTCTCATGGTGTGTAATAAAAAAAACCCATCAATTATTACGACATCTACAGTAGGTGGTGGCTGATGCTGGACCTCCTTCTCCAAACACTTCATTACCGCAGATTTATCCGTCTTACAAATAGTACCATTTAAATGACACATAGATAGAGGCACATCGGTGATTGGGTATGACAAAATTTTTGAGATATCCACATTGTAATCCATCGAGATCCCCAGCATACGGCCAAACAAATCTCGTTGAATTTTTACCTCTTCAATTGCACCACCTATTTTAATTTTCTTCTTTTTTCCATATCTCTTGAAAAGTTATTAAGAGCTGTTCTTTTAATAGATTTTTCAAATCGACTAATGTCCGTATGACATTCAGAAACAAACGTATTCCGAAGACAATCACCATTTTTTTCAATATTAAGAAGAAATGACTCTACAGGTTCCGATGCAGCTTTACCAGAAATGTTTATGAAATGTTTATTAAATGATCTTTTGGTACTTCCGAGCTGAAGGGATTAAGAAACTGTTCAAATGTTTCAAGAAATTTCTTTCTTTAGATGTTTAATATTTTTCTGAATATTATGCTTATACAAATCCGAAGAAACATCTTGGTGAGTTTGTAGTCCCAATTCTTGGTAAACGGAACTAATTACTGTAGATTTTACATCATGGTTTCGAGCCCACCGTTGACGGGCTGAAATTGAATTAGTAAAGTGTATAACACCTGTAAGTCTTCTTGCAGCATCTGCATTGATAGTCTGCTCTAAAACCAGATCAATGGGTTGCCTTGAAAATGGCTTGGTTGTCCTTTTAATGCCGAAGTAACCCTTTTGAAATCCTTCAAATAAATCAGGATGGGTATCTGCTACTTTTATCAAGTTATCATCATATTTCACGGTCCATCGAGCATAATTCTGTTGATTACAGATAAAAATAAATTTGTTATTTTAGGTAAAACTGACTTGAAAAGTTCGAAGTCTCCAACACGTATGCTTCGTGATAGTTGTAGGTAATGATTGATGAGATTAATATAAATTACATAAAATTGTTGAGTCTTTCCATACTCGCCATTGAGACTTTGTTGTTTATAAATACAGTAATTATTGATCAATTCTTTCAGCTCTTCATGTTCTATGTTGAATGATGATATTTTACAGTTTTGTAGTCTGTGAAGTTCTTCAATCATATCATCTGTTACGGACGTGTTACTCATTTCCAGAAAAGATTTAAAATGTAATATTTTTAATCCTAATGCCACCAAAGGGTGCAGTCTTTTGCAGCGATTGAAATCCATTCACTGAACCATTCGCCAATAAGCCACTTTCCACCATTATATTTGTTAGTCCACAGTCACTGATCACCTTACAAACTGCTTTGAAATAAGCCATCATGATGTGAAACAGTCCTAAATGTATAAATAAATTATCATATGCAGGTTTTTCCGTTGCTTGTATTTGTAGAGCGACTTTGGCTATAGCCAAGTCATATGTTACTTGATTGAAGAGGACACAGAGTAGGACACCTTAGGCCGGCCGTCGGGGTGGTTTTTAGTGGAATCACCACATACTCCTGGCTCCTGAGTCCCCGAGGAGTCCGGCACCTCGGGGACTCAGGAGCCAGGATCCGAAGGGATTTTCCAACCCGTCAACAGGTACGTGGGGATTCTGGCTTCCGAGAAATTCAAATTCATAATATTTATTGCACCATGATGTTTACAAGTACAAGGTGTTATTGTATATTTAATAGTAAGAGATACATTTTTTTTTACGTGTGGAAATCCCCTCGGACCGTCACCCCACCGGGGTTTGCGGCGGGGTGGTGTGTCGGACTCGGACCGACTAAAACCACACGGTGTGCCACTTTGCGCCTGTAATAGGAGGGATCCGGGAACAGCTGTTATTAAGACATCCGGACCCCTCCTAGCGCCTGCCCGCAACGGCGCGGGCACCACCTTCGGTATACTCTCTATTTAGGCGACGTCCGGCACACGCGGATGCCGCCCCCCTCGCGGCTGGTCAAACTAATGCGGATGGAGGGAAACCCACCGCGGCCACACTCAGGGCGGCATGAGGCGCAGGTGAGCGCGCCTCCCCCGCCCGGTTCGCCGGCGGCGGATCGGGTCTGAGTGGAGGTCGTCCTCCCGAGCCTTCTCCACCGCCTCCTTCTGCGAGATTACTTCCTCGCAGAAGGTTGCGACCGCGGTAAAACAACTGTCGCTACCGGCCATGGAGCGTACTACGGCCGGTAGAGAGAGATCCACTCCGATGACTGCAGTGAGGGCCCGGCGCTGCGTCGCCCATGCGGGGCAGACCGCCAGCGTGTGCTGGGCCGAGTCCTCACTGCAGTCGCAGTGGTGGCAGGCGGGACTCAGTTCCCTCCTAGCGGCCTCCCACCACGGGGAGCGCGGTCGGAGCGGCGGCCTTAGGCCGCTGTGCCGACGCGAGCGGTGGGCGCACAACCGGCGCAGGGGGCAGTCTCGCCTCCAGGCCAGCCAGGCGCCCAACTGCGATGAGAATTTCACGCAGTTGGGCGTCAAATACCCCTGAGTTGGTGGTAGGGGTAGGCTGGGACGCGGACGGGGCTTCCCGCTCGGGGAGGTTCGCCTGGAAGCGGGCGAACTGAGCGCTCAGCTCGTTCACCCGCTCCGTCAGCCTCTCGTTGGCCAACTGTAGGCGAGAGACATCGCCCACTAGGCCCTCCACGACCTCCGACAAAGCGGAGGAGGAGTCCTTGAGGGCCCTCACAAAAGAGCCCTTAAGGTTTACGGACTTGGTGGCCACCTTGTGGATGATAGCCACCGCCGCTTTCGCCCTCTCCTGCACGGACACGGGAGCCTGGGGGGCATTTCCCCCCACCGGCTCCCGAACCTTGAGCAGGAGATCCGCGATCTCCTCCTCCGCTACGGCCTCGCCGTGCACTCGGTACACTTTTGTACGACCCCGCGTTTGAGAAGGCGGAGCCTGACGGGGTCGAGACCGAGGCCGGTTTTCGTGGCCTCCCTCGACGGTTGCTTGCCACTTTTGGTGGCATCATCTCTTGGGTCGTGTCGGTCTCCCCGTCCCTGGAGCGTCCGCGTTTCCGGCTGTCGCATCGCTCCGTTTCCATGGCCTCCGCGCCATCCGACGAAACGGCGGATCTGGAACGCAGACGATCCGATGCTCTTCGGCTCCCAGGAGTCAGACTGACTTCTGGGAGCCCCACCGAGATAGGCGTTCCCGACACCACCTCACCGTCAGTGGACGACCCATCCACTCCACTGTTCCTCTTCTCCTTCCTTCCCTTCGTTTCCTTGTCCGTTTGACTTGCCTTTTTTTGTTGTTGTTTATTTTCCGATCGTTTCTTTATGTTTTGATTATCATTGTCCATATTAAATCCCACGAGTGGGGGAGAACTAAAGGTCCACCCGGGCAGAGATCCCCCATTACCCGGGCAAGCGTAAGATTTTAACCCAAGGGGTCCGCAGGTACCTCGGCTTGGAGTGCGCTCGAGACTGAACTTCCCATCAGCCATGCATCCCCTGGCCACGCACCGGAACACGGGATTCGGGGAATTTTTTAGAGAGGTTGTCTGCCTCGCGGTCCGGGCGGTTAAGCCAAGACCCTCGCCCCCGATCAGAGCCGCGAGACTTGACCACAGCGCTCTTCTCGGGATTACGATATGCCGACGGTGCCTGCCTGCCTGCTCGGTGGTAGTGTCAGTACACGCCGAGCCCGTCCTCCTTTCTCCACCGCTGTCAGCGGAGAAACTGTGGCCCCTACAGGGCCCCGCCATCCGGTTTTTTACCGAGGTTTCCTCCTCCATGCTCCGAAGAGCGAAGAGCCAGCAGGGCAACCGGCAGACACGCCCACCCTGCTGGACCAGGCCTTGCCCGAGAGCCGATAAACGGCTTCCTCTTCTGCTAGAATATTAGCCGCTGGCGATAATCCTCTCCTCCAAGTAAGCAAGGAGAAAACAGTGCCATCGCCAGCGTTTCCAGGGTGCATGCACCACGGGGAGGTTTTCTAGCGTAGCACCCCAATAGTAAGAGATACCTATAGTAATCCTCACCTTAATATAATCTGAACTAATAATATTATAAAGAGGAATGACAGGTTTGTTTGTTACGATTTAACTCAAAAACTACTCAACCGATTTTAATAAATCTTTTACCATTATAAAGCTATATCTTCACCGAGTAAAAAAACTGTAAATGGAATTGTCAAAGATACCTATCAAGCCGCTTGCCGTGAAAGTGGTTTGCTTGAAAGTGCTGATCACAGATCTTAGAGAGTTGTTTGTAGTCATACTATTGTTTTGTGCGCCTTCAGAACCACTAAAATTGTGGGATAATTTCTATAAAAATATTATTTCAAAGTTTAATTTCCCTAATTTGATGTGTTATAGTCGTAAGCATTGTAACCATGGTAAGCCTGATTCGTAACACTATTCAATTCATACATAATAACTTGTGTAATTTTGTTTCTAGTCCGTAATTTTTGCATAGGAGATAATTCTTTCATGTACGGCAACAAATTTTTAAAGAATAACAGATCTTCGCAATCGTGTTCTTGTTTTTCGCTGCTTTGCGACAGTTTAATTTGTAATAAGTCCAACTTTTTCTTCTCCAATTCCATAAATTCCTGTCTTAAATCTTGTGCACATTTACGTTTGGTGCTCGTATATTGTGTACTTGCAGATGAACCAGCTATTGACTGGGGAGTTGGGGACCGCTCATTATCATTATTATTATTCATATAGTTTCCATCAGTAGTTTCATCTAAATTGCCTTCATTTAATTCTGGGGTAATGTCGTCTTTTATGAACAACATAATTTGAAAATATGGCCACATTGAAGTGTTTTGATCAGTTCCAGCATCGCCAGAACGAGGAACCGGATTTTTTTTAAATTCTTTCATAAATTGGTCCCGAATGTTCTTCCATTTTTTCCTTAAAGCCTTTTCTGAAAAAAAGAAATATTGTTTAGTGTTGATGCCCAATTTAATTTTAATATATTAAGTAATTAGTACAAATATATTTAAGTATAACATTATAATTGTGTTTTTTTAAATATGTTTCAGATATCTCTCTACTGGGTTGGCATTTCGATCTTTGGCTTATAGCTTTCGTTTAGGTGTTAGTACAGTGTCTGAGATTGTTTATAGTACCTGTGAAGTTTATTTTGGTCAAAAGATAAATTGACATTTCTTGTTATGCGCCATTCTCTATCCAGTTCAGTTATATTATTTGGACAAATCTTTGAGAAGAAATAATGTAAATCTGCAATTGAAGGGTTTTTATATAACAGGATCTAGAATTGCTTTGGGATCTAGCATCTTCAGACATTTTAATGCTTGACGGTCTAGTATCTGTTTTGCAGCCTCGAGATAAAACTCCTTACTCCTTATGTAGACATTTTTGAGCCGTTTTTCCTCTAGTTCTCCAATTGCTCTCTTTCTTCTGATCAGATTTTACACCATTCCACGTATATTTCTTGCAATGGTAAATGTCCAATCTGTCCTCCTCTGGAACGCTCTGCCTTTGGGAATCAGGATAGCACCCAGTCGCCTCTCATTTAAGACGAAAGTCCGAGCTCGAATTCTCGACACTTCAGCAGACTCATCACATCCCTAAAGTCTTATATGTTATTATGTTAGCCTTGTATGTATTACTCAGCAAGTATACATATATATGTATGTGTATCTCAGTATGTATGTAACCTAATTTTAATCTCATGCGCCTACTCAGACATTTCCCCACCACCCAAAGGTAGACTGGGAGAAAATGCCTTTGGCATTAAGTCCGCCATTGTACTTTGTTTGTGCAAAAAGAATTAAAATAAAATAAATAAATAAATGTCTCTGCTCACCTCTTGTTTTTCCTTTTCAACAAGAATATCAGGTCACGTTCGTTTCGTCGCGTCTCAAGTGCTGGCAAATCAGGTATTTTATCGTAGTTTTCACATTTAACCCTCCATGGAATATGTTTATTTATTTTATTTTGGATTATTTCTAATTGATCTATGTATGTTTTATATTGTAGATTCCACACTACCGATCCGTACTCGAGTATCGGTCTAATAATAGTCTTATACAGGACTAACACTGTGGATGAACGCTTGAAATCCTTAGTAATCATTAATGTAAAACCCAACATTCTTAAAGCCTTATTTACCATAGATCTTATATGACTATCTAACTGAACCCTTTATCACCTTATGCTCCTTCAGAAACGATACACTTACGCCAACGAATACTCCAATTTTTTAAACGCTGTTTCCGGAATTGAATTTAGTTTGATAGATTGAAAACAGTAGTGCCAATTTAACAACTACAAAAAAAAGAAAATTTTGTATTTGGAACCATAATCAAATCATCCATTCCCGATACTTTTTTAACTGAATGTATACCCGACTATCAATGGGAATTTGTTGGGAGCTGAGAGTATCGGAAAAAATATTACTGTTGTGCTCAGCTTCTATAATAAAATCTAAACAACTTGTGGCTGTCAATATATCGTATTCTTCATCATCGTGTCTGTTTAAGGGTGTAGTACTATTAATAACATCTGTTGAAGAATTGCATAGAATGTTTATATTATCTAATGGAATACAATTACCCGTGAATGATGAACGAAGTTCTAAATGGTTGTGTTTTTTTGAAAGCAGCTCGAAATTGTAATACATTGGGGTTATTGTTGTACCCGCCATGCTTTCTTATGACCCCAAAGAAAAGTTTAATATGATTTTGGCTAAGGCGGTATGTCGAAATATATGTCATGTATTTCTTTTCCTCAACAACATGTTGATACAGCGTTTTTAGAGATTCTATATGCAAATTAATGCTCCTATAAATCCTGTTTTATTAGCTGAGTCAACAATTTTCTTTTTCGAAATAGACAGTGTAATACGTGGGTCTAAATTTTTTCTTTTTATAATTCTTCTACATTTTATGTTAAATTCCAAATTTAATATGTACTTTTTTATTTTGGTTAGAAAACTTAATACTTAAGAGTTATTTATGGCATCGATTGGTTGGTGAAACCCATAAAAGTAACACTTTCTTGAATGCATTGTGTCAAAAAAATCATTGAACGCTTTCAAAAATAGTATTGTTGCCGAAGAATCTGCAAATTGCGAATACTTTAAATTCTCATCACATAGCTGCAATGCCTTGGCTACACTTTTACTGGCCAGGCGGACTTTCATAATTTGGTTACGGAAGTTGACATGTCGTGGTATAAGTTTGTTGGCAAACCTAAGTTTATTAAGGTTTATCAATAACTTCCACTTTATTTTTCTCTTATTTCTCTTCTTTTATTTTCACTTTATCTTGGTCGAATAACCATCTCTTATTTTCGAAAGAGTTCCTTATTAATTTGATAACGTGACATGGATCAAGAAATATGCACACTTTATCCTGAGTGGACGGGTGTGGAAAATGGGTCACAAAACTATTTGGGTTAGTCAGTTTACACCCTACAATTTCTGCAGCCGATAAATTCGCAGGGCATCCATCAAATGTCATGCTTACGACTGTAACTCCAGTATCATGACATTTACGTAAGCCAGTTTTTTTTTATTTTATTTATTCATCATATAAAACCAAAAACACAGGAAGTATTAAAACATAACACGATAAACCACAAAGGTTTGTGGAGAGTTACACTGACAGTCAGTATCGCATAATTACAATTATTTTTACATTAGTACGAGCAGACTTACATCTCGCTAGGCCATCTATTAGCGTATTACATCACTATAAGAACTAGATAAATGCATCTCTTAAATGTGAGTATTTTACCTTATCTTAAAGTGATTGACAATTGTTTGTGGAAAATTCTTTAAGTTTTAATTTAATGTTACCCTCTGTAATTTTATTAAATAAATCCGAGGGTAGCTTGTTTAAGAGTCGAGGAATCATGTAGGCAGTAGTTCTTTCGCCGTACGTGTTGTTTGCGCGCAGTGTGCATAACCGGTTTTGCGCTGCCGCTCTAGAATACACAGGATGCTCTTTGACTTTTTTTAAGTTGCTATTCAAAAAGTTTTCTTTTAAAATATTAAAGTTAAATTTAGTATGAACAGGTATGACTTTGCTATCTTTAAAGAGGCCAATCTTGTTATTACAAAATAATAATTTATTTTTTTGTGATACAATATTCTTAAAAATTTTTAGTTGCAGTTTGTATATTTGGTTCAAAATCGCTATCGCTATCGTTCACATACATTACATCCTCGGGTCTCAAGTATACTCCTGGTCTGGTTCTACCCAGACCAGGAGTATATAGGAGTATATGTACGCTTTTTGAGACATTCCTCAGATTTAATGAACATCAGGAGTATATAGGAGTATATGTACGCTTTTTGAGACATTCCTCAGATTTAATGAACATTTATAATCTATTCTATCACTGTTTGTTATGAGTGATACGCTTGGTTTAAACTTTTTCAAAAAATCTACCATAGTTGCCAAATTGTTTATCGTTATGCTTTGACCAATTGCATCAGTTGCAAATATCCAACAATTAGTAGGTATTGTATTTAAATCCTTTACAGTTTCTCTGTGTATAGCTATACTTAGTCCTACTGTACTGTACTGTACTACCCACTGTACTCCTCTCATTGTGTCACGTACTGAAGCGCACATGAACACTACAACTCCATCGTGCATATACTTTTTGGGTATTGCATACGTGTCCTTTATACAGCCTAGATCTTTACCGCTAATATAGTAGTTCTCTGTATCCTCAATCTTTACAGTTTTTTATCTTATTTTCCTAAGGACATCCTCTTGGGCAACTGGGTATCTCAGAGCAGATATGGCATCGTCTCCTCCAAGGATGTGTGCACCTTTCTTATTAACAGGAGTGGCTGTCATCTTTATCAATTTATTTGGTTTCACATGTCTAGTGCAATAAGCATCGACTATAGCCACATTTTCATCACCAATACAGTGTACCTCATCAAGTATGACGAATTCAAAGTCAGATGTTGTTGAATGCAGCCATAAGTGTTTTCCATATGTTCGTATAGTAAGTTTTCGGTTACATGAGCTTGATGGTGGCCAACTATCAGAGTACCCGTCATGCGCCATTCCCACCTCATATTGAATTAGAAGATTTTTAATGTTATTTGTTTCAATCATGTTTCTAATTCTCTCCTAAGAATTCTTAACTGCTGCAACATTAGGCTGTAATCGCAATATCGACTTATTGCCCATTATTAATTTAGCCAATTCGTATGTAAACAGTGTAGTTTTTCCTGATCCCGTCGGTTCTTCTAATAAATAATAGCAATTCTCTTTTGGCAATTTGCCTACAAAAGCTTCAGCTGCGCACCTCTTAAAGTGTTCATGCATATCTGTTTCTCTAACGGGAACCCCTGCTATTTGAGTTAAGCCGGCTAATTTTAGTAACCCCCCGCCAACGCTCGGTACTTCGTCTATGCACCATCGTCCGCTCCCATATATGCCGACTACGTTATTCTTAGAGTTAACTATGGGTGAGCCTGAAGCTCCTGACATTCCTTTAAAGTGTGAATATTCAAATCCAGTTTCTGTTAGGTCAACTGCTCTGAAACTTCTTAATCCTGTTTTGTCCGACTTCGCTATGCAAACAAAATATTGTCCCCAATTTATCAAGGGGTTGAGGGCCACACAAACTTCTCATACTGTTACATCTGCCAATTTGATGTCAGCACAGTTGTAACATATTATGTCCTTTCTTTGTCTATTAGTGTTGCTTCACCCCAACACATAGATTGTTCACCAGCTGTCCAAACTACAGGATTGCCTTTTGTAACATGGTAATTACTAATTAAGCTGCCTTCAGTACCGAAAGCACTACCAACAGAAACAGGAGTATATAAATCCTATCATCATATGTGTCAAAAGTTTGCCAAGGCACTTGCACGCTTTTTTGTATCCTAGGATTAGGCTCACGGTTCCAAGTAGATGAGTGCACTTTCTTCCACACCTTGACGCTTTGTTGTCCAATGCTAGACCAAGAATGTGGTGTGTACTGCTCAGTTCTCTTTATCCTACTGGGGTACTGGACTTTTAAATCAGACCACCTTCTATACCTACCTATTTTTGTCAGTTATAAACTGGTGTAACACTCTACCTATTTTGCCTGATGTAGTCACTATTATCAACATTGAGTGTGGTGTTGACCAGTAATTGTATAGGAACAATTCACATATATTCTGTACGAATATGTCATCTGCTATCAAATGCAGTTGCATGATCTTGTAGCCTCTATCAAATGCGTATTGGCAAAACTTTCGGACAGGTGCTAAATTGTCACTGTATTGAATAACTACCTTATCCCTGTCTACAAAAACGCTCTTATTTGGGTCCCTCATTAGCTTTGCTACAAGAGTTGCCCGATAATCACCTGTGTCCTCAAAGCTGTCATCTAGCAATACTACATTTTCAACCTTTATGACGTTAGTATCGTCAAATATAATGCTTTCACTCGACCCGTTGAAGTCTGATACCATTTCTTTGAATTCATTATTAACTTCAATGCTAAACATCCTATTTACAAGTTTAATTCCTTGTTTAAGCTAGGTGTAGTATTTTTGTCATACAGACAATCGATCACTCGTTTTATTATTAATACTTCTTCAGTAGTCTTTGCTTCGATTCCTTCAATTAAAGTTTCTAGTAACAGTGGGCCTAATTGCCGCACCTTTTCATTAAAATACTTATCTTCTACTAATAGCTTCATAAGGCGAGGATTATCTTTTGTGAGCTGTACAAGACCGTCATCAAACCCTTCATCGTCACTATCAAGCTCAGTCATGGTATACTCAATCGGTGAGCTCGTTCTTGATACTAGAAGCACCTCAATGTCATTCTTTTGACCAATAATGTTGTATATATCTTCTTTAATGTGTATAATTTCAAAGTTGTCCTTTCTCGATGTCTGTAAACACAAGTAATCTTGCCCCAGTTGAGTGGCGATTGCTTCCTCCCCATGCCTACCTATAATTACTGCAACTGGAACATAGCATGCGGGTCCCAGTCCCCAGAAGCGTTTACGAGTAATATAGACAACAGTGATACACAGACAGGTTGATATAACTGTTATAGGTTCGACCATAACTACTAAGCCCATACTGGATATAAGATTCTGCTAATTATTTTCACTTTAAATGGAATTTTGTTTTTAAGAATAATAATTTTGGCCAGAAACTGCCGTAGTTTGTTGCAAACTAATTCAATATGACCTCCCCAGTTCAATTTACTGTCTATTACTAGACCAAGGTAGGTATGTGATTTCATTATTTCTATGGCTGGGCAGTTACACACATCTTTACTAAATTTATGCAGCAGCTATAAGTGTGAGCAATCAGCGCAGAAGTGACGGTATGCCGTTGATACTGATTTAATAACTAACAACTTAGTTTTGTCCGAATTTATTACTAGTCCAGCATCGTGGCACCATCTTAATAAGGTATTAAAATCCGATTGCAGCTTCGCAAGTGGGCTATTATTTTATTTTGGGGCCCAGAATGAATAAATATGACAACAAAATGTAATTTGAAGTATGTTATTTTTTGTTACTTTTTTATACTGATATAACATAATTATTGTTTTAAGTATATATTACAGCAATTTGCAGCGATGTTTATTTACTATTTCTTCATTTGTTTTATTATTATACTAGGAGGGGAACAGAAAAACAACAACTGTGTTACTTTCATGAAAAATCAAGTTTTATTGTAGAAACATTTACCTCAATTTGGAAACCTATCACATATGAACTGAAGCTAGGATAACGATAATTTTATTTATTAAATCACAAATTATCTCAGTCAGATATCTCTTTATATGGTTAAGTTTACCACTTTGTTACCTAATTTTGATTTAAGCAATTGTAATTTTAAAAAATATTCAAAAATAATAGCAATTTGAACTCACTATTTTAAGAGACAATTCAAATGTTTCAAATAAACAATAAACTCTTAAAATTAGGATATCTGAAAAAGTAGTTTTAGTTTTATACCTTCAAACGTTTCCAGAAAAAGAGGGACAAAAAAGCAACGCAGATGTTTGATACGTAACATAGTGCTAAACTTTTCACGTCCCACGTGTTTTCTTCACCTTAAACTAATAGAAACTTAATACAAACAAAAATAAAGCATTTCAAAATAAACAAAACTTTTCTTTAAACAAAAAAAAAATGAAACTTCTCAAATTAACAATTTATAAACATAAAACCTTTGTCTTTACAGTCTCATTCCTCAAATATATTTAACGGCACATCAAATTCGTAATATACACGTCTACCTTTCCTAATTTTTTTAGGATTGGGTACTATTTCTGAAATATTTTCATATGGTTCGTATGAAACATCTTTTTCTACTAGTTTGAACCTTTTCCCCGAATCGTTAACTGATTTTAAAAACATAATCTTGATCTCTCCTTCGTCGTCAACATCACTTTGGGCGACACCTAGATAAAAGTATGTTTTGTTCTTGTCAGTGGAAACTTTGACTGGGATTGGTCACAAGATTAGTTACATCAGTTAATACTTCTTTAAAGACAGGAATTGGCTGATAGGTTTTAGGTGATAAGCAGCCGCAAAAACCCCTTTCACAAAAGCAACTAAGATCGCGGTAGTGCAATTTTCTGCATTTCTCCTGCATTCCTCTCTGTGAAAACTTGATGTACCTGCATTGTACCCCGGAGAGGGATAATGTCCTTGGGAACAGTCTTCTCTACCTTTTCAATATCGGTATTAGTTATGAAATGTAGCTGAATTTGCTGGAGTCCTTTAAAGAATGTCTAAGCCAAAAGCAACTTTTTGGTCAGCTGTTCGTTTAAGATAGCCACCAACACCATCAGCCGCACCCTTCCCGTGATCTGCTTCGAAAAAGTTCCAGGTAATGCTATCAAAGTTATACTCTTTGAATGTTCTTGAGCAGATGAAATGAAAGTTTATCTTCTGCCTATATTGTGTCGCAGGACCGTCGGAGAAGACATGGATTGTTTTTATGTGTGGATGATTAGCTTTTAATGTACTTAGAACTGGGTCTTTTTTTTAGCTTGCTAACACCGAGACATTCCTGCAACATATCGCCTTTCATTTTTAATTTTGTTATGATACTCCCTTCAAAAATGCGACGTATTGTAAATTGATCTCTTACAGTATTTATTCTGGAGTAATGGTCTCTGATGGCATTAGATAAAGTGGCGTACTTTTTGTCTCCGTCTCTGCTCTCCGACTTTTTTGCTTTGTTCTTTTGTCTTTGGCATCTTTGTTTGTACTTATTATCTTTCTTTTTTAGCTTATCATTTTCTTCCTTCTATTTTATATTTTGCCTATATAATATCGATCTGTCTCTTCTGACTTGTCGTCTTGCTCTAGTGCGTGGAGAAAGGGGAGTTCCTGATCGTGGCGTCGAAGCTGTATTATTCAAAATGACCTGTGCAATTTTTTGGCGCTCTTTATGTTTCTTGTTTGCATACTTCCATTTATGCTTTATTGATCAGGTTCTCTCTCTGTCATGTCTTTTACAAGTTTTTTATTAGCGTGATATCTTGCAAGATGTTTTTGTTTAGCTTCAGCATTTTTGACCGGGTCCTGTTTTAATTTTTTCCTATAACGTCGTTGTTTTTTAGCCGGTGTTGAATCCATTATGTTGGGAATAGTATACTGTAACGAATCAATCTAAAATTAAATAGTTTTTAAATATAAAATTATTAAATAATAAGTAAAAACCTTAAGGTTTAACCACTGCGTTAATATAGCCACACCTGCGTTACTTCTCGTAGTAACGCAGTGTGTTGGTAACACAGTTGTAAAAATTATACATATTCTAACGTTTCAGCCATATAGTAATAAATTAAAAATATTTTTTAAAGCCATTCAAAAATGTACACATTCTCATACAGATGAATTTAATAAAATTATCAAATATCTAAAAAACTCACCGTTTATCACCCGTAACTCAGCGGTTTCACAATAAACACACGCACTTCTCCTGCCGACTCTCGCGCGACTGGCTCGACCAATTCGAAGGCTACGCACTCCCCCCGCATCCCGCTAGCAATTGTTAACGAAACAAACGAATTTTGAGGTTGAGATATACAAAAAGCTGAGTTTCAGACTTATTTTCGTATGATAACACAGTGTTCGTGATTTTTCACTTAGCCACAGGGACAAGACAAGGAATGTTTCGTAAATTAGAAAATTCCAAAGGGAAATGATAGTTATCAGTGTTGTAGTAAAGTTCAAACAACTGCTTATTACTATAGATATTCAAATTTAATAGCTATTTAAATATTTAAATTTAATTTTAGTGTATTTGAAGTGAGTTGCTTATAGGGACAGCGCAATTTTGTAGGGAATACACCTGCGTTTCTCAGAAATACAACTGAGTTACCGTGATTTAAGAAAAATTATAACTTATTCTGTTCATTTATCGTAATTCTCTTAGACGGGTATATTATCGCTAACGTACTAAGAGTGTTTTTATTTTAGAAATCGTTGTTTGCTTTAATAATAATCATTTTTGTTTGAGAGAGACCTGTTATTGGAACCAAAATAAAATAATAGCCCAAGTGCCTTTAGTGGGTCTTTGTCAGCTACCACCATACAAGTGTCGTCAGCAAACTGATAGCATGAACCGTTTTTAATAGAGTTTGCATATCGTTAACATAAGACACAAAGTGTAATGGTCCTAGAACTGAGCCCTGGGCTGTGCCTTCCGTAGCTAAAATTGTATTACTAAGCATGTTTCCGATTTTTACGGCAAAACTGCGGTTTTTTAGATAGTTTTGACACTAGGTCAGCAAAGGTCCCCTTATGCCACAGTTACCAATTCTATTTATTAACCCTTAAATGCATAGATTTTTATTTCGGGCTGGAAAAATGTTACCTGGTAGGTATTTTGGCACGAAAAAATATATTAAAAAAATCTGGTATTAAAAATATGTATTTAAATATATATATATATATATATATATATATATATATATATATATATATATATATATATATATAATGTATGTTGACATTTGGCAACATTATGCGTTACGTACTAAAGTTATGCTTACTTATTTATTGGGGGTCATATATTTATTTATTCAATTATATAAACAATATACAGACTATTTCGAGTGAAATGCAGCAAAACGATTTCGATCTTTAGTATGACACAATGCAACCCTACATTTAGTACATTCAGTCCGCGAAAAACAACCGGGAAGTTTGAATCTGTTTTTAGAAGCACATCTTTTTTCATCGTGGCCTATTCCATCAGTCCGCACGTCTTTTGGAGGAACAGGCTTCGCTGGGCCCCGGTGTCTCTTTGGTTCTATCTCCCTATCTATATTACTGCTTGAAGGCCTTCCTCTTTTGGGTTCAGTATATTTTTTATAATTGCATAAGGTCTCCGCAAGATCCGATCTAAAATCACTTAGTGTCATGTTTGGGTGTTTTTTTTTATAAAGTACCCATGAATTTATTACTGCCATGTCGACCATGTGATAAAATAATCGGATGTACCACTTCCGACTTTTAATTCTGATTTTATACCTGATTTTAAACCCAAATAACTGTCCATCAAATCAACTCCGCCCATGTGAGCATTATAATCTTTGACTATTTTTGGGCAGGCAATGGAGACTTTTTCCTTCAGCTTCTTATCGAATCTGCTGACGGTTTCAGCTGGTTCAGAATCAACATAAGTAGACGCCAAAGTAAAAGGCTTATTGTCCTTCCAGCAAGTTACCGAAATATCCTCACCTTCATAGTCTGCTACTAGTTCCTCATACGATCCTCTTGGCCACAGAGTCCTTCATTAACTCTTTTACCGCCGAAAACCGCTGAAACCGCCTCGGAAAAAACTGTAAGTTACCGGTAGGTAACTTACAGTTTTTTCCGAGGCGGTTTCTTTGAATTGTGCCCAATGTATAAATGCCTTGACATAGTCTTGACATAGTAGGTAATGTAACAAAGGGATGGATGTATAAAAGTTATCAAAATAAATAATATGATTCATTCTTCGTGGAACTGAACGGCACAATCTGATGACTGTATTACCAACTATACCAAGATCAGGTTCATCAGGTAAGTTCTGAATGTCCTGTTTTCCTGAATAAATTTCAAAACTATGAGCATATCCAGACAATGAACATAAAACATACAGCATGAAACCCCATTTATGTGGCTTGTTGGGGAGATACTGTTTCATAAAATGTGCTATCTTTGTAGAGCACATTTGTTCATCTAAGGACAGCCTCTGCTCAAATGCCGCCATAATCAGAAATAATTTATTCAAATGTTCTTCTATAGGTCTTATTTTGTGCAGACGGTCGTGGTTTGGATGATCAACGGTCTTGTGCAAAGTGTTATCATTGAAGTGAATGACAGATCTCAATTTTTCAAATCTATTTACCGTCATCGTTTCCATTATATTTTTGAAGCCATATTTACCCCAAAAGGATCTTACATTTGGGTAGTGAAATACTGACATAAATATGATAATCCCTAGAAACTGACGAATTTCCGTGGCAGTTACAGGAGGGCAGTTGGAGATGCCTTTTTGCGTGATATACAAATTAGTCTCATCCACAATTTTTACTAATATTTCTTCATTTAGAAATTGTGAAAAAAAATTAAAATGGGTTCTCAAGTTTGGCTAATTCTGGGGAAAGGCCTGTATTGCCTATAAAACGTATGCGGTCTTCGCTAAATTCCAAACTGCGTTTTTTTTTTCATACAAGCTCCCTAAATTTTTTTTAGTCCAGGCCGCTCTACCAGTGGTACCTGATAGTGCCCGACTAGATGATGGTCCTGGAACTACAAACTCATCAGATGGATGGTCTTCTTCAATTGCTAAATCAGGATCTGCATCGTTTTGATCTAATTCCTCTGCATCTTCTAAGTCCTGTATCAGATCTTGTACATTAGGGTAGTAATCTAGTTCATTTTCGTCGCCTATACACTCCCATTTTCGAGAGCTGATAAAATATTCTCAATATCTCGTTCTTCTAACCGCTTAGCCATCCTAAAAAGCAAACTAAAATAAGCTAAAAGCCCAAACAAAAGCAAATAATACGCATACACATAATATGCAACAAACGCATAATGTAGACATTTGGCAACATACAGTTTTTACGATTCTATATTATCAGATCCCATAAAATTTACAAGTAAAATATGAAAAATCAAACGACGAATCAAAGACATACGTCATATTTATCAAAAACAACTTGTGAGGAATTTATTCATCTAATTGCATCAAGCATACTGGATCAAATAATTTGCGAAATTAAGAGATGCAAATACTACTCAGTTTCATTGGATTCTACTCCAGATATATCGCATGTAGACCAACTGACTCTGATAGTGCGCTATGTTCTACCATCTGGACCAGTGGAAAGATTCGTTAAGTTCTTAGACATGGAAGGTCATACTGCTGAACAACTCGCTCAAAGTTTATTAGATTTCTTAAGTGAGAGTGACATTGATATCAAAGATTGTCGTGGGCAAAGCTACGATAATGCCAGCAACATGAGTGGGAAATACTGCGGCTTACAAGCACGAATTAAGGAAATAAATAAATACGCAGAATATATTCCCTGTCTTGCACATTCCTTAAATTTGGTTGCTAAGTGCGCTGCAGACTGCTGTACAGAAGCATTACTTTTCTTCGATTTCGTTGAAAACCTCTACACGTTTTTTTCTGCTTCTACCTACCGATGGAGTCGTCTCACGAACGCTTTGAAAGATTCTACTTCAAAAATTCCGATTTTGAAAAGGTTATCGGACACTAGGTGGTCAGCCAGAGCTGATGCTACGAAGGCGCTTTTATGTGGTTTTATCACTATTAAGCAAGTTTTGGAAGACATTTTCAATAATGTAGATCAAAAAGCAGAGTGCCGTAATAAAGCTTACGGACTAGTTTCAACGATGAATAAGTTAGAAACGGGAATAATGACAATTATGTGGAACCGAATCCTAGAACGCTTGCAAGCGACTAGTGCTTCGCTGCAGTCGTCTGATCAAGACCTTAACACAGGATACGCCCTTTATGAAACAGTATATGCCTACGTACAAGCAATGCGATCTACATTTTCAGATGTTGAGGCAAAAGCCAAAGATCTGACCGACTGTGAAGAGTATCAGCAACAGACTTCAAGACGAAGCAAGCGGAATACAAAGTACGACCATTTCACCGGCTCTACTACACTCGACAACTTTGTTGAAAATCAAACACCTGGACAACGTTTTGAAATTCAGGTGTTTATTGTCATTATTGATAACGTACTGTCTGCTTTAACTAAACGTATGGAAGCATATCATGAAATTACTGGTGTTTTTGGAATATTTCGACAGCTAAAATCCCTTACAACAGAAGAGATTTTGGAAAACGCCTCACGTATGGTCAGTGCTTACGAAGATGATTTGGAAAGTAGCCTAGGCGACGAATTAGTGCAGTTCGCTGAACTGCTGAAAACAGATGTGGCTACTGTTATTGATAGCAAGAAACAAGAGTCTCTGGAACTGCAATTTTATAAACTTTTATTAAATAATTCCTTAGAATCGTGTTTCCCAAACGTAGAAATTGCCTTGCGCATTTACTTGTCTCTCATGATCACTAACTGCAGTGGCGAACGTTCTTTTTCAACGTTAAAACGTATTAAAAACGAGTTAAGAAACACGATGGGCCAAGAACGTCTTAATCACCTTACTTTGATGAATATAGAGTATAATTTGCTTAAAGAAGTCGATAGTGAAAGTGTTATCTCTAAATTTGCCCATATTAAATGCAGAAAAGTTTATTTGTAATAGTTTTGTTTTATTTAATACCCTTTAACTTGAGAAACTATAGCAAACGAAGGGCCTCTTGACAGAATTTGCTACAGGCCCCGCGCTGGCTTAATCCGGCACTGGATCAGAGATGATACACAAAAGGAAAATGTAAAAGCTTATAGAGAGATCCTCAAAATGCACAAAAGATCCTAACCCTCTATCAAGAGCAATGTGCTTTTTAGACAAAAGTACCCTATAGTAGTGGATGAAAAGAAAGCAATAAATATAGATAGCAATAAAATATTTTTTTTTTTGTTCCGTGCGGAAATCCGCTCGGATACCACCTATCGGTGGCATGTCGGACTCGAACCGACTAATACTAAAGTCCCTGGTGCCACGACATACCTCTACAAGTAGACGACCCCCCCCTGGGGGTAGACTGTAGACGATTCCTTGTATGAGGAAGGACAGCCATAGGAAAAGAAAAATCTTAGCTAAACTAAACTCAATCGATTGGTGGATAAGTCATAGTCCAGTACCAAGAAATAATGCAATAAAAGTGATAGAACTACTCCTCAAAAAACAGGTAGAAGACGTCAAAACATACTACTTAGTACAATGGAGCAGAAAATCAATAAAATGGGGACCTCCTATCAAACAGAGACAAATAGTTAGGACAAAGAATCCTATTATTGATATACCACCACATCTTACAACACCGGCTCTAAAAGAAATATTGTTCCCTGAGATAACCCTTCCTGACTCACGGATTGGGACACAAGATATAGTAGGATTGAAAGAGATGTTTGGTGTAGGAATAGAAGAGAAAATGAGTCTTGTGAGACAGGTTAGAGTTCTGTTAAATGCAATGGACACTAAGGAAATCTACCTGCCCATATTACCAAACTCAAGCAACAATCTTGTACCAATAAAACATGCCATGTTACACTATAACTTTGTCCTAAGTACTATATCTGTAGAGGATATGAGAGAAAATACTTCTTGGGAACCTCTTCTAGAAAATTTTATAAGATGCCTATATGTAGAGGCAAAGCTCTCAAACATAAGTATTCAAGACCTGAGGGACATATGTTACAACACCACCATAATGAGAAAAAGAGTTGTTGACCTTTTAGATCTTATTGGAAGCAGGAATTCATTGGAGTATGTTCGGCTAAAGGCTCTTTTTGAAAGGGGCTCCACACTAGAATGTAGAAGAGATGGACTTACTACATGTACTATGCCTTCTGACTGTAGACACACAGTAATTGGAAATGCAGCAGGATGTGACACTCATGTTTTGTCAGGAAACCAAATGGTAAGTTTTCAATATGGGGACATAAAGGGAAAATTCACACATAATGGACCATGGCTAAGAATTCCTATCTATGTGCCTGAACCTTAAAAAAATGACATAAGATCCACCTGCACCGTTGGCCCTATCATCTGAATGTCATTGAAGGGCTTACCTGCGGTGGTGATAGCAGAGGCATCGTATACTACGCGAACTTTCGTGGTCGAGCTAGACTCGCGCACTATGCCATGATGTGGCTTAAAATAACTATTGTTAGATTTAAAATTTTCTGTCATGTGATTAAGATTTAAGTTTTCATGCATAAATTTTAAGTATCTCTCTTTGAAAATGGAGTCACGCTCAAATTTACGTTTAAGGGAAAGAAACCTACACTTGGCTATCAATCAGTCACCTAAACACTCAGGCGAGTCCTTCAATAATAACGAATTGGCCGCAATCATTACGATATGTAGTTTCATCAAAAAGTTTTTCACAATCTTTTTCTTCTAAAGATAAACCGTCGTTGCCTGATATTGAATCAAGCTCCCAGAAGCGGGACAACTGGTTGGACTCCTCCTGTGAAAGGAAGTGATACAGAGGAGGTTGTTGAGGACGAGACTGATATACACAGCCTGATATAAGCCATCCTAATTTCGAGGATTGTAATTTAGGTTGATATTTAACCAAACTTATAGTGTTGGAACCTAAGACGTCTCAAAATACGTCAGCTCCTACAAGAATATCTATGGCTGACGGCACGTTGAATGTAGGATCAGCCAGCTGAAGACATGGTGGGATAGTCATTTGTTTCTTGTCCATATAAATACCAGGCAGCCATTGTGTGATCTTTGGTAAAACAAGACAGTTTACGTCCACCTGATAAGTGCCATAACAAGACTGTACAGTAAGACTACAACTTTCGGAGGTATGATAAACTTGACAAGTATAAGTGATACCTGTGACAGTGGAGCTAGTGCTTCGTGTTACCAAGCCAAGTTTCTTGCAGAGGCTTTGGGTGATGAAACTGGTGGTACTGCCGTTATCTAGCAAGAGCCTGGCTGTATGAAGCTCGCCATAGACGTCTGCTACTTTCACCAAGGCTGTGGATAATAGTAGTAGTAGTATAGTAACCCCATTAGCTTGTTGAGAAGATAGTACAGTTTTAGTTGACAGCGCAACGTTGTCTTCTGTCTGAGTTAATGTATCCCTATGTAAGAGGGTATTATGTCTTACTTTGCAGTATTTGCAGTGCGATAACTATCACCGCTTGTCTGTATGACCAGGACGAAGGCAGTTTATGCATACGTTACTTTCTGATTACGTGAATCTGTATCTAGGTTTCTAAAATGTTGTCAGTTAAATAAATAATGATTTTGTGAACACATAGGACATGTATATTTCTCAGAAGAGTTGACTGGTTTGGACTTTTAGTATGCAAGAATATTTTTGGGTTTGTTATGCTCATTTATTTGTTTATTGGTGGTAGGATGATGATTTCATAAGTAGTCTTTAATAAGTCAGCTCTGTTTAATATGTTTTTATGAAATTATGTAAATTAGGAAATGTATGTAAATTGTTTTTTATTCCTCCCACTCTCGGTTGGTCACAACATCTAGCTTTTTCGACATCATGTAGATGATTAATGTGTCCCAGTGTTCAGCGGCCTGCCCGAGAGGTGCAACTGCTCTTACATTTTTATTTGTTACATCAATCATGTTTCTTAGTGACCTACAAGACTTATAATCAATTTCATCAAAATTAAACAATGATTGTAAATGTACGGTTAGGTGTTTAGACTACGTAAATGAAACGATCGAATCCCAGATTAATACTGTCTTATATTTAAAAAGATACTATGGTAGAAAATTTAGAACAGCATGTTAAAAGTATATTTGAAATGGATGTCCCCATCACGGTAGAAAAAATAAGGCATAAAACAGAAAGGGACTACGCTTCCTTTATTATCGGAATACCGGAAAGCAAGTATAACATTTTATGTCAACAGGAAAACTGGCCAGTGAACATTGAATTTTGTGAATGGGTGTGGTTTCGTGGAACGCTCAATAAACCCATCAAAACCTAAGAAATCTATAGAGGTTTATTATCAAAACGCGGACTAAGGACAAAATTAGAGGAATTTTGTGCAGGAGTGGCGTCTGTGAGTGCTGATTTACTAGCCATCACTGAAACAGGCTGCAACGAGTCAATTCAAGACGCAGAAATCATTCCACCCGGATATACGCTAATACGCTGTGACCGCGCTGATGGCCGAAAGCAGGGAGGCGTATGTCTCGTGGCCACACCGCGCTTCGATCTGCGGCGAGTGTCCGGCGCGAGTGACGTCAATATCGACGACCATGTCTTCGAGTTAGTTAGTGCTACGGTGCACCTGCACAATAGACTTTTATTTTTGTTGTGTGTAGTATACATTCCGCCTAGTAGTTGTGAAAGAGAGTATATGGTGTTATTTAAGATCATTGAACATTTGTTCCGTTGTTGTTATTATTTGCAGTGGATGGAGCGAAATAAAACGTTTTTTTATTGACGGAATATTGCGTATTTTATTTTAATATTTCTCACAGTACAAAGATGAACGTTGTCGCCTTGACCGGCTTAGCGAGAGAGTGTTGCCTTACATAAAACAAAAGGTCTGCTACCAAAAACCAAATTACAAATATAAATGTTGCCACTTTATCATTATTCAATACACCCCCTCAACATTATATTTTAATTTCTAAACAACCATTTTAATTTTACCATTAAACATATTTAAAACCTTTACTTATTTTGTACTACACCCCCTTAAGATAAATTCTGAGATGCATCCCCTTAATAACATAAACATAACCTCTAAACAAATATGCAGAGCCCTAAATTATACTTTTATGTACCAACTCAACTTAGGCACACTAAACATCCTTTACATACACAAGATACCTTAAATACTAACTCAGCACTATCCTATGCATATACACACTTTAACAAACTTATGACAATATCATATCCCTAAGTTTAACAAAAAGTATTTTTCCTAAGGGTTTGGTAAACAAATCAGCTACATTGTTATTACTACATACATATGTAATTTTAACTAAACCTTTTGATAGATTTTCTACAATGTACTAATACTTGATGTCTATGTGCTTCAATCTTTTGTTACTGTCATTATTCTGTGCTATATTAATCACACTTTGATTGTCTTCAAATATTTCAAGATCTACATTCTCATATCCAAAATCTCTACATACAGCTCTACAACGGCTACATAGCTTTTCCTTCTGCCCCCTTGACTTTGAATACCCACTTGCTACTTACTATGTTTTCTCCATCAGGAACTTCTGTCACCTCCTCCCATGTATTATTCTCCTCCAGTGTCTTCAACTCCTTGTTTATGGCTTCTTCCCACTTACTTTTATCTGGTCTTTTCATAGCTTCTTCGTAGGAAATAGGTTCATCACAGCAGTAAGTCAGGAACGTGTTTTCTTCTCCTTGTATATAGTCCTTAAACCAGCTTGGCTGTTTTCTCATCCTTGTAGGTCTTTTTGTTACCTCTTCCTCTATATCTTCTTCTAATATTGACTGCTCATGAAATGAATGAAAAAATGTACACAATGTTATTCAGACAGCAAAACACAAATGCCATGGTTGGAAAAGTAATGTCAGATCTGAGGGAATGGCATGCAAAATTAGGTCACCAAGAGATAAATCAAGTGAAAAGCATCTTGATAAAGCAGAATATAAAGTTTGGAAATAGTTTATAAGTTTTAACCTCCTTTCTAAGGAGAGGCTTATGTCCAGCAGTGGACTATTAAAGGCTGTTGATGATGATGATGATGATGAAATGAATGGATGGACTCCTGTTCATTTTCACTTTCTATAGTTTCAAGGTTCTCTGTGTCTTCATACTTTTTTTCTTCTTCTTCTGATACCTGTTCTTTCTCTTCTTGTCTTTCAGAACCTATGTGATATTCCTTTTCTTGTCTTCTGTTTCTTTCTTTGTTTTCTATAGACTGTTTTATAAATACAACATCTCTCTTGGTGTCTACTATGTTCTGGTTCTGGTTCTGGAAAATATATTCTGTATCCTTTTGTATTTTCTCCGTATCCCATGAAATAGCCAAATTCAGCTTTGCTATCAAACTTAAATCGTTTTTGATCAGGAATATGTACGGATACTTGACTACCGAAGACTTGAAGGTTGTTGACATCAAAATCTTTGTTCCACCAAAGTTCATATGGTGTCTTGTCCTTGATTCGACTCGGACCAGTTCTGTTGATGACGTAGACAGCTGTATTTATCGCTTCTGCCCACAAGTTCTTATTTAAACCACTCTCTAGTAGCATTGTTCGTGCTGACTCAACCACTGTCCTCATCTCACGCTCTGCACAACCATTCTGTTGTGGAGTATATGCCACACTTCTTTGGTGTTGTATCCCATATGACTTCAGCAAGTTTTCCATTTCTTTATTAATAAAATCTTTCGCATTATCACTTCTTATGTATTTCACTACGTGACCGGGGTTAACTTGCACTTCTTTCAAATACTGTTTTAAAAATTCTATTGACTGTCATTTATTCTTCAGAAAGTACACCTTTCTATATTTAGAGTAATCGTCTTTGATGAGTAGAAAGAACTTAGCCCCTCCTAGTGAAGTTTCTTCTATTGGACCTCCAATGTCAATATGTATTACCTCTCCTGGTTTCGTTGCCCTATTTGCACTCGACCGGAAGGGGAACTTATGTTGTTTTCCTTTCAAACATGGTAAACAGGTTTCTTCTTCACTATTTCCAAACTTTATATTCTGCTTTATCAAGATGCTTTTCACTTGATTTATCTCTTGGTGACCTAATTTTGCATGCCATTCCCTCAGATCTGACATTACTTTTCCAACCATGGCATTTGTGTTTTGCTGTCTGAATAACATTGTGTACATTTTTTCATGTCTCTTGGCTACAGCATGCACACTGTTGTTTTTGATAAACTTACACTCAGTGGCAGTTGCCTCCAGCTTGTAACCTTTATCCAGTGCAGCACTCATAGAAAATAAGTTTGTCTTGAGGCTCGGCACATACAACACACTGCTTATCAATGTTTTAATCCATTTTTCACCATCATATGCCTCAAGGTCAATGTCACCATAACCTAAAGCTTGTATTATTGTCCCATCCCCAATAACAACGTCTTTTGGCACTAACAACTTTTTATAATTTATGAATCTGTCCACTGTAAAGCACATATGCTCTGAAGCACCACTATCTAAGAACCATTCATTGTTTACACATTTTGGTGTAAGTCTATACACTGACGTGACAAATGCGTTTTGTTTTTCATCTGTTTTTTTTTTGTTTATTGTCCGTATTAAACCAACACTTTTCTTTTGTATGTCCCCGTTTTTTACAATGTTTACAATATGGTATATTTTCAATTTTATCACTCTTGTTGTTTCTGGCTTTACAGTCTTTTTTGTAGTGGCCCACTTTACCACATTTAAAGCATTTTCTAATTTTAGAATCCGTTTTAAACGCTGTGGAACTACTATTTTCACCTTCTTGGTATAATTTATTCCGTTGTTGTTCTATGATGAGCCTTGCTGTCAACTCCGACAGATTTTGTTTTTCAGATGGGACAGAGTCCCATGCAGATACAAAGTGTCTGAATTTATCACCTAAAGAACTTATTATTTTTGTGACAATCATGTTTTCTGCAATTTCTCCTTTTGCTTGTTTAATTTGTGTTGCAATTGCCTCGACCTTTGCAATGAATGTTGATACATCCTCCGAACTGTTATATTTTTCTTCGAAAAAACGCTGCTGCAGTATGTGCAGTGACACATCAGATTTTTGCTCATAAATTACATTTAATTTGTCTCATATTTCTTTAGCAGTTTCACAGTTTTGCACATGCAGCATAGCTGTGTTACCCAGCCTGCCCACGATAACTCCTTGGGCCTTCGCATCTAGCCTTTTCCACGTGGCTAACTCTTTGTCGTCTTTTTCTGGACATTTGAATGAGCCATCTACCAATTCGTAGACATTCACCGCCTTCAGTATGACTTTAACTTGAAATTTCCATGTATGCCAGTTACCGGCATTTTCCAAAAACAGGCGATTGTTAGACGCCCCAAAAATATCGCCCTCGCCGTCCATTTTGTTACACCGACGCTACTGCTTGACCGCAGAACCACACCGCCGTTTTACCACAGCTGCTACACAATAATTCCTTTATTTCGCTCCGGGCCTCTGGGCCCATAACCTGTTGTTGATGTTATTGTTTGCAGTGGATGGAGCGAAATAAAACGGTTTGGTTGACGGAATATTGCGTATTTTATTTTAATATTTTACACAGTACAAAGATGGACGTTGTCGCCTTGACCGGCTTAGCGAGAGAGTGTTGCCTTACATAAAACAAAAGGTCTGCTACCAAAAACCAAATTACAAATATAAATGTTGCCACTTTATCATTATTCAATACGCCGCTTTAGTCCTATGTATGTTCTTGTCGCAAAGGTATTCAACAACTAGATTCGAGGTGAGCAAATCTTGTTTTATCTATGGGGTCTACCAATAAGAACGTCCTGATTGAAAAATTGAATAAAACACACTATTTTTTATGAAAAATGCATCCGATTGATTTATTTGATAGATTATTTTATGCAATTTATTGTAAACTAAATATTTGTCAGCAACATTTGAAGAAACTTCTACTATATTAATAAAATGTAGTATACTTAGTATGTACCTATATACATACATATATATTAATCTAATTAATTATTTTTTAGTGAAATAAGGCGAAGAGAAAAACAAAGAAAGATAAAAGTGAAGAAAAATCTGTCTGTTTGTAATATAAAATAATAGGTTTTTTCAAAAACCGTGTGACTGGTGTGACCGAAAATATTTTTTGGTTCGGGTAATCTTCAAAACGGCTGGACCGATTTTGATAATATTTTACTACCAGGTAAAAAAATTGCCCGGTCCGGGAATCGAACCCAATAAGGGTGCTTTTCAAATTCTACGCAAACGATGTTTCGGGCACCAGCTAGTCCTTTAAATATAAATGACAACGAATTTCAAAATATATCGCTATATTAAGCTAAGAAGTAGTTTGACTTAACCAACGAAATAACTAAAAATGGTTATTTCGTTGCGTTGTATGCCGTGGAAGTGGGTGCGAGGGGTATAAGAGCTGAAGCCCTCTATAACCTGTTTAATGACCTTGGATTGCTCAGTAAGCTTTTTCCTTGAACAAATATCCAAAGCGGCATTGCTAGGCTCCTACCAAATTTGGTTAGATAGAGGGGGTTACCCAGCAGACAGGAATGAAAGGCATATAGTAAAAAATGAGCTAGTATGAATATTTTTTATTTACCATAATTTTAAAATGAATTATACAGAGTAGTAGAGTTGGTTTTTATACATTACATACACATGTACATGTTATTTACAGAGAACATAATTTACTTTGAAAAAGTTATATGTCTAGTTAATAATTTTAATTTTATTTCACACAATTACGATTCTATTAACGGTTAAAATATCATTGCTTGTTTTGAGCTTATTTTTCTTCAGGAGACTTCCACTCCTCGCCACTGCGGTTACTGGAGAAGACTGAGAATGAACCTCAGATGCTGGTAAAGGAGGAGCCACAGTCGGTTGGCTGCTTGAGCCCGCAGTATTCCAATCTACAACAAAATATTGCAACATTTATTACTTATATAATAACGAATATAATATTTTCAGACATCTGACACACAACACCACCTAGTTTCAAACTAAGCAGAACTTGTACTATGAAACCAAGATTGACTGATATGAGACATTAGTAGTCCCTGGTATGTTTACTGGTATGTTTATCTGTAGGATTGCTGTGGTGGTGTTCAAGTAACATTTATAAAGTGACAGATGTTATCTATATTTACAATTGAAACTTTATTTTAATGTCAAGTAGCAGTGTAAGTCTCATAACAACGAGAAATTGAATTATAAGTAATAACGTCAGAAATTTATCATATTCTCAAACATCACATCGTTATTTTACATTACAGTACATTCAATATTGCAAATAGTACATTTAATATACACTCACCTTTCCAGAATTCCACCATAGCTACGTATTGTAAATGGGTTGTTCTCCCTATGACTTTTATGATGTTGCAATTTTTGGCGCAGAAGATGATGAAACACGTTTTCGTCTGTGCTGTTTAACAGTTCGATTTATTGTGGCACTTACTGTGGTTTATTTTAAAGAAATTTTTATCAATTTCTTTTCACATAACACAACGATCTAGTGGTATGCGGCTTAGCTATTATTGGAAGCTTGGATTTTTGTCACAATCGACAGCCAACACGACGTAATAATACATAATATTTTCTATAAAATGCTTCTCAAAGTTTCAAAGGTTTACAAATAATCTTAAACTTGGTGATGAATTTACAATAAAAATAATAAACAATTTATTGACATAGCGTCGTAGCCATGTCAATAAATTGTCAAGTGGAGACGTGTTTTTCAGAAACCGAAAAAAATGACAAAATAATTATTTTAATTCACCAAATATACTACTATACTATTTTAAAATGTCCCATACCTCATTTAAGATTTACTATGTGTTTATATAAGTATATTTTGTTTTAATTGTCAATAAATACGTAGTTTAACCGAAAGTAATAAAAAGTTCACTATTTCAATATGCTTTCGAACGTATAGTTCATTCAATAAGATGTTGAATTCGTTCTTAAGTGCTCATCCTTATTTACGTTAGGATGACGTCACTAACGTAATCGTATCGAGCTCTCGATACCTTAACGTTAGTGTTTCGTGCTACCGCCTATCGTAAAACTCCGTAAACGTATCGAGGACTCGATACGTTTACGATACGCATTCGAACATTTTTCGTGCTCGAGGCACAGGACTGTGATCTAATAAAAAAAATAAACATTGTGGAACATTTTCACAAGAGTCCATTAGCTACGAAAAAACTAATTGCAATGCAGGAGCAGCTGAGGCCTAATCAAAAACACATTGAAGCTACAAATGGACGTAGTGACCAGATGGAACAGTACCCTGGACATGATTGAAAGGATTTGCTTACTTCAAGAACCTTTAGAAGCGTCTCTTGGAATCCTACATAATCCAGTAGAAAATCTTTTGGAAGCTGAATGGCAGACACTGCCAGAAATAATAAAAATTCTTAAGCCATTCAAGCAACTCACTGAAGAAATGTCTTCAGGAAAAAAAGTTACTGTTTCAATGATCATAGCTTCGACAGAAAGTATGCTTAGTATTTTGTACAATTTAGAAACAAATATTATTACAGATACCGGGAAAAAACTGGCAAATAAAATTTCAACAGAATTTAAAATTAGGTTTAAGAATTGTTACAGGCACCCAGTGTTATCTAAAGCAGCATTGTTAGACCCGCGTTTTAAGAAGCTGGCATTTAGGTTTGATGCGTCAAGTTATGAGTCTGCCAAAGATGCATTGAAAACTGAGCTGCAAAACGAATTTAACTTTAATAATCAGCCAATAGAAGCTAACGAGAACGAATTGATATTAGCTACATCTACTGGTGACACCGACGCTAATAACGACTCTATCTGGATAGATTTTGACACTTCGGTAACGTCAGCGTCTGCTCGAACTCTAAAGTTACCTTGAGGCAATATCTAGAAGAACGTTTTATACCTCGAAATGAGTGTCCTTTGAAATGGTGGCAGATGAGGGCACTTCTATACCCCGAACTCTCAAACTTGGCTGAGAAATATTTATCAGTGATGGCTACCTCGGTACCATCTGAGAGGACTTTTTCCAAATCGAGTCAAGTAATAAGTGAGAGGCGCAGCTCAATTCAACCAAAGCGAATGGAAAAGATTTTATTTTTAAATATCAACCAAAGATTCCTGTCATAAAATGGCCCAACGAGCAAGTCTCAGATCTTAAATGTTAACGCTTGCCCAAGCAATTTCGGTGCTCTAGGTTTAAATTCATTCTAAGAAAGAATTATTTTTTGTTATTTTAGTTTTGTTTAAAATATGATTTTATTATTATGTTTAATTTCACTTCAACAACAAAAGAGATTTGTTGTCATTTTAATTGATACAAACTTTTTTATTTAATTATATGTTTAATTTCAATCTAAGCAAAACTATTTTTATGTTGATTTATGGTTGAAATGCTGTTTAAATTTTATTGACAATAAATAATTTTGGACGCCTATTTGTAGCTTTTTCATTATCACATAAACATAAGTCTGGTTTAAACTACGGCAAAGTGAAAAATGCAGTTTGGCATGTAATGAATATGTATTATTTCTACAAATTGAAATTATGAATGCTGCGATGCCGCACCTAGTACATACTGTCATATCTTATAATAAAATTATAGAAAGAACATGAAAAATATGTTCGCAAACTATTCGTAACGTGATTGGTTAAAAAAATGAAAATATATGTAATTTGTGCAGATATACTTCAAAAATATTTGAACCGATGTGCGCGCATTATGGTGCCAAAATTTCAAATATTCAAAACAAAGTTTTCTTTAACAGAGTATGCAGTAAAAAAAAAAGTACATACTTGTGAAAAAGTGTTTTCATAAAATTTTGCCACTAAAATTTCATAAATTTTATGTAATAGTAAGTAAGTAAAGTAAGTAAGTAATAAACGAGAGTGAAAGTTTTAGTCTGTCATGAAATTCTAAAATTATTTCACTGTAACTTAATTTTCAAACAATTAATTAAATCGCACGCTTGTACGCGTACGCAATACGACTCGATTAACGATTTGTTTCTCTAGCATAACAGCATGTTATGAGGTATTAGGAGTAACGAGTAACGATACGATAGTAACGAGTACTGAATGTATAGTAACGAATACATACGGGTACGTTTTTTTTTCGTTACTGTTACACCTCTACATGTCAGTAGTGGATAAGGATTTCAAAGGTGCAATGAGCCAGTCACGTTAGTGAGGGAACAATGCCGATGGAGCATGTCGATGTTTTTCGTGTGGGCGTAAGAGTGCCGCCGTTCTGGGCAGAGGAGCCTGACATTTGGTTCGCCCAAGTAGAAGGCCAATTTGCTATTTCCGGCATTACCAGTATCGTCACATAAGTTAATCACGTCATTGTCCACCTAGACAACCAGTATTCTCGTGAAGTCAAGGTCATTATCAATCCGCCAGCGGCTGAGAAATACGAGAAGCTCAAGACTGAGTTCATCAAGAGGTGCGTCAAAAGAAAAAAAAATAAAGCAATTTTTGATGCATGAGGAGCTTGGAGATCGAAAGCCCTCTGAATTACTGGTCGACACCGGTAGCAACCTCTATGTCTTCCCTAGGTTGGCGCTTCGTGATCGCCGTGCTGGGACAAACTTTGTGTGCCGCTAACGGCTCTAATATTGCTACTTATGGTTATCTACATTTAGATTTTAGGCTAAGTATGAGTTCTGTGTGGCGTTTTATTGTTGCAGACGTCACAAAACCCATTATAGGTGTAGATTTTTTAAATTATTATAACCTTGTTGTAGATTGCCGTAACAAGCGTTTAGTAGATAATGTTACTTCTGTTACAGCCATTGCTTTTACTAAGTGTAATGATGTTATGTAATGATTGCTAAGTCTGTTAAAGTGGTAACAGGCGAGACCCGGTATCATAAAATACTGGACGAGTTTCCTGAGATTACTCGACCAACCGGTACATATCGCACAACACCTCATAAGACACTTCACCACATTCACACGACACCAGGCCCACCAGTTGCTTCTCCTCCTCGTCGTTTAGCACCCGACAAGTTACAGATTGCTCGAAGGGAGTTCCAAGCTATTTTGGCTAATGGCACGGCCAGACCTTCGAACAGTCCTTGGTCATCCCTGCTTCATTTAGCCCGGAAAAAGGTCAGTGGATGGCGTCCCTGCGGCGACTACGTTAAGTGCCCGTACCGTGACTGATAGGTATCCGATTAAGCATATCCATGATTTTACTCACAGTATCTATTCGATTCTTACCTAAAAGAAAACGGGATTAAACGACGATTAACTCCACCGTATACCCCACAACAAAATGGGCAGAGTGAACGTAAGAATAGATCCCTATTGGATAAGGCTCGGTGCCTAATGATTGAAGGAAACTTACCTCAAAAATTGTTTGCCGAAACAGTATATACTGCTAATTACCTGATAAATCGAAGCCCGGCAAAAGCCCTGAAAGGATGTACACCTTATGAAAAATGGCATGTGATCAGGATACTATCTTCGAGTTTTTGGATGTAAAGCGTTTGTTTGGAACAAACACAGAAGAGGAAAATTTACACTAAAAGCAACTGAAGGTATTTTTGTATGCTATGCTCAATAAAGGATATGAAATCTCTTTACCAGAAAAAGACGTTGTGATAATAAGCAGAGACGTGTAGGTCATCGACAGATTATATTATGGCAACGGTGAAAATGATAGAAATTACAATAACCGTTTCGGCGAACATGAACAGTTGCAACCTGAAAGACAGAAGAAAATAAATAAAAAAGAGCACAAAACTAGCCTTGATATCGAAATCGTTCAGACGCCTGCAGAGCCAGTTCCTGAAAACAATATTCCTGTTAATTCTGGAATTTCTACCAGTCAAAGTAAATTACAAAGAAGAGCTCCTGCCTGGCAGAAAGACTATATGCTAGAAGAATCTTCGTCTTCTGATGAGTACCAGGAATTAGCAGACGAAATTAGCAGATGAAAAACAAGAATGGAAAAAGTAAAGAATTGCGTGAAGCTATAAAAGCCGAAATAATAGCCCATATTAAATGTAAATCTATCAAAAACAAAACTTATAAAATTTGGTACGAATAGAAGCTAATTTAAATGAACATTACTATAACTATCACTACTTACAGGGTCATATATGCAGGTTAATTAATCTAACCATAGATACAACAGACTATAAAACTAAATATATTCTTTCTAGCACAAATAAAGTAAAACTCAATTATCTTTCTAATATTAACCTTAAGTTACTTAACGGTGCCCCTTTGGGTACAAGAAATGTGAAAGGGACTATCCCATATTATTTTCCTATTATTCAACGTAATTCAACTAGAACTTCTAAGGTATTTAACGATGAGAGTTTTTTATGCTCAAGCCAAGGGGATTAAGGGGGGATAAAATAAGACTACTCCATCAAAACATTGCAGGTATTCTAAATAAAGTTGACAATATAGAATTGTCTCTAATTGAATTTTCCAAAAATTCCTATCCAATACAGATTTTATGTTTTAGTGAGACTTTTATAAAAAGAGGGGATGACTTAAATATTAATATTAAGGGACTATACAGTTGGCAGTTACTATTCTAGAAAAAAACAAAAGCGTGGTGGTACGTGCATTCTAACATATTGCGGAATTGACTGCAAACCAATAGAAGTATGTAAAGAATGTTCTTGTGATAATATTTTTGAATGCTGCGGTATAGAAATCCCCAGTATAAATACAATAGTAATATGTTTATACAGGACACCTACATCTAACATTAATTCATTTTTTGATAAATTAGAAATACTTTTGCATAAACTAAGGTACAAAATAATAAATAAAAAAATCATAATAACAGGTGATTTAAACATTAATATACTGCTAAAAAATAAATATACAACAATTTTAAAAAAAATTCTCTCAAATTTTAATTTAACTTTACATATTAACGAGCCAACACGAAAAAATAGTTGTATAGATCTCATAGCAAGTAATCACGAAGAAGCATATGGAACAGTACATCGGCTCTATCTATCTGACCACGACACAGCGCAAGTTTTAGAATTTCCAGGAAAGTGTGAGAAAGTCTCAAGTCATTGGTACGTTAAAAAACGGGATTTCAGTGAAGAAAACAAAAAAAAATGACAGAAAAATTATTCATAATCCAACTCAAATAGCAACATTATTTAATGACTTCTTTACTAATGTTAGTAATGGAAATATTATACTGTCACCTGTCAAACAACATAAAAAAATACAAATAGATGCTAATGCTAAATCAATATTCCTGAAACCCACTTCAGAGCTTGAAATTATAAATATTATTAAATCATTAAATAACACCAAAGCTGTAGGATATGACTCGATTTCTACAGAAATAATTAAAGAAAGTGCTAGTGTCATTGCCCCAATTATTGACCATCTAATCACAAATTCCTTGGTTCAGGGAATATTTCCAGATAAACTAAAGTATTCTATTGTTTAGCCATTGCATAAGAAAGGTGATAGAAAGGAACCTAATAATTATCGTCCTATTACTCTTGTACCTATAATTTCAAAAAATTTTGAAAGAATTTTTTACAGCAGATTAATTGAATTCTTTAATAAACATAATATTATTAAAAATGAACAGAATGGTTTTCAACACAATAAATCAACCTCTTTAGCAGCATTCTCTCTTATTAAAAATATAACTGAATACGTTGATGAGAAAATTCCAGTGGTCTACAAAGTCAAAAGCCTTACTCATATCAAAGAATATGGTCTTTGATATGAGTAAGGCTTTTGACTTTGTAGATAATGAGATCTTGCTCAACAAATGCGAAAATTTTGGTATAAGAGGTGTAGCTTTAGACTGGATTAAAAGTTTTCTAACCAATCGTGAGCAATTTGTTGAAATTACCAGTTTAAATGATAGTAACGAATGCAGTGTACACAGATCCCCATACAAGGTCAATAGATATGGCGTTCCACAAGGTAGCGTTTTGGGACCGTTACTGTTCTTATTATACATCAACGACCTACAAGATTCAATTAATTGTCAAAGTGTTCTTTTCGCAGACGATATATCTATAATAGTGCCATATAAGAATAAAGATACATCTCATGAAACTAAAATAAGTAAAGAAGTACAATTGGTATTAGAATGGTTAAAAGCAAACAAATTAAATGTAAATCTATCAAAAACAAAACTAACAAAATTTGGTACGAATAGAAGTAAACACTCAAAAAATAACATACTGGTGAACATAAAGATAGAAAATAATACTATAGAAGAAGCTGACAGTATAAAATTTGTAGGTATAACTTTGGATAGATTTTGTAACTGGAGACAACACATAAATGATGTTTGCCTCAAACTAAGTAGATTTGTCTACGCCCTTAGAAAGCTTCGTACCGTGTCTGATGAAAAGACTGCACTTGTAGCTTATAAAGGTTACGTAGATTCAATCCTTAGATATGGGTTAATAATATGGGGGAATTCGACTGATGTTGATCAAGCCTTTATTGCCCAAAAGAATTGTTTAAGAGCTGTTTGTGGAGTGAGTCCACTTGACTCTTGTAAACCGTTGTATAAAAAACATAATTTGCTGACATTGACCTGCATGTATGTTCTTGAAGTATCAATCTTTGTTAGGAAATATAATAATTTATTTAAATTCAAGGGGGATCATGTTACTAAATACAGACCAAGATATCCTACGAAAATAATGATTCCATTTTGTAGAACATCTTTGGTGAAAAAGAATGTGTATCACATGTGCATTTCAGTTTTCTATAAACTTCCTAAGAGCCTTAGGGAACTCCCATTTAAATATTTTAAAATTAAGTTAAGAAAATGGCTAGTTGATAAGTGCTTTTATGCAATGAAAGAGTTCATGCAATATAAAACTGATGTATATGATCATTTGTAGATTTAATAAATTAGATAAATTAAATTTAATAATTCAATAAATTTAATAATTTAAATACTAATATGTAATAACATTTTTTGACATTTTGTTAATTTTAATTAGTTAATAGTTATTAATAGTTAATGTTTGAGTCTCTATATAAATATTTGCATGCCTAGTACAGGCAGAATATAGCTTGAACATTATACACCTTTGTAAAATCTGGTACCACCTGTATTCTGTGCAAATAATTGTTTCTTTCTTCCTTTCAAAAATGGTACATGGCAAGTAAAGAAAAAATATGAAAATGATAAAAAACATCGTAATTTCAAATTATTTATTTTATTTATTTATTTATATCTTTATTGTTTACAAATTAGCACATAAGACATTACAAATATATAGACTTAACAATCGGCGGTCTTATCGCTCACGGCGATCTCTTCCAGACAACCTTGATACGGATATTTGTTATTTAAAAGTTGAGTAGTTTACATACACATAACGCATATCACGTGAATATTTAAAATATAAACAAAAGCATCCATACACAATAAACACCTGTTCACACTACACATAGATAAATACACATACATACATACATACACACATACATAAACAAAATTTATAAATATACATATACATATTTATATATACATATATATACATATTCAATAGACATACACACAACATATATATATACTGTCCGAAATATATACCATATATAAAGAAACCAACAGTATTTATAATGTCAGATAAAAATCCTTCACTAGCTTTTTGAAAGCGGGCAAGGTTTTAGCTTGCCGGATTGTCAAAGGCAAGTTGTTCCAAAGTCTTACTGCTTGCACAGTAAAAGATTTGTCAGCAAACTGGGTGGAATGTTGCGGCATTTTTAGTTTTAAATTCTCCGATGACCTTAGGTCCCTGAAATGTGTGTTGTGTAAGAACTGAAAACGTTCTTTGAGATAAGAGGGTGTGCGAGGATGAAACAGAACACTGTATAAAAGAGAAAGAATATGAAGATTCCGGCGAAAGCGTATTGGTAGCCACTTGAGTTTAAAACGATACTCTGAGATGTGATCATATTTGCGTAATCCAAATATGAATCTAATACATAGGTTTTGGAGTCGCTCAAGTTTATTCAGTTGGTCTTCGGTGAGATCCAGATAGCTGACATCGCCATAGTCAAGGATAGGAAGAAGAAGAGATTGTGCGAGCGCAATTTTAGTATAGGTGGGAAGGAAGTTCCGTAGCCTTCGCAGAGATCCTGCCACTGCAAATAGTTTTCGACTAACTTCTCCAACCTGGGGGCCCCAGGATAGGTACCTATCCATGTGGATCCCCAAGTTTTTTACCTTTTCACTGTAAGGTACAACCGAGCCATTGCAACAAACAAATGGTATTTGCTGAAAGTTTATTTTACCTTGTAGCCTGGGACTACCTACAATAATCACCTGTGTTTTTGTGGGGTTTACGCTTAGGCCATACTCCCTACTCCAGTTACATATTTGCATTAAGTCTCTATTTATGACATCCACTGCTTTTGTTAAATTATCTGGAGTAGCTTGTGAGTAGATTTGGAGATCATCTGCGTAAAGATGGTAGGAAGACAGTAATTGATTTGTGATTGAGTTAATAAAAACTGCGAAAAGTAAAGGTGATAACACGCCGCCCTGAGGTACGCCCGCAGATGTTGTGAGCCAAGAAGAATAAACGTTTTCAGTACAAACACGCTGCTGGCGACCGTACAGGTAACTACGAAACCAGTCAATAGCCGATGGAGATATGTTAAGAGAGCACAATGTACCCAGCAAGACATCAAAATCCACAGTGTTGAAGGCGTTGCTGAAGTCAAGTAAAGCAAAGACCGTTAGCTTTCCTTCGTCCATGCCTGACCTAACATCGTCCGTAATATGGACTAGAGCTGTTGTAGTGCTATGACCTGGACGGAAACCTGACTGGAAAGGATTGAGGAGACAATTTCTTGAAAGAAATGAAGTTAACTGTGTGTGAATGAGACGCTCGAGGACTTTGGAAAGAAAAGGAAGGATAGATATGGGATAGGAAGAACTATTTTACGGCTGATACTGTCGCTT